TACCCTACACATGTCAGTATAGTATTAGATATTTCACAATCTCTAGAAGTTACAGGGTTCTCACCAAATTATCAACTGGATTAGCTTGCCATCAAAAATTGTTTGTCACAATATAATAAACGAGAGATGTGGTTATACCGGATGTCCGATCGAAAACTTCAGATAGCTTTATTTCTATAAAAATTTAAGTTGGAAAGAGGTATGGGACAGTACATAGGGAGACATAACTCCACATACGTTTTTCATCACACTACCCCTCTTCACTTCGCCCCAAACTACTTTTACATCAAAATTTTTAATGATAACCTGTATATATTACGAAAGGATTATGAAAGTGCAACTTTTTTGAGTATTTTCATAATAATAAAAAAATAAGATACAAATTTGGTTAGTTTTTGAAAAATTATACCCCTTTTGCACTGTGTTTTACCTCTAAAATGCAAGATTCCAACTTAAATTTTACCAGAAATAAAGCCATTCGTTGTTTTCAAATTTAACAATTTGTGTCCTGGAATAATAGGTAATTTAACATGAGAACACAATAATTTGGGTTAACCCCTCACTGGACTTAAAACTTCCATGTTCAACTATAGAGACAGATTTTAATGTGTAAGAGATAAAATAATAACATGCTTTGGATTAGGCGGACAGAATAGGTCCATTATGGGCATTTACCATCAAGGCAGTAGAAGCCCACCAAATGGCTACTTCTTTTCAAATAAAATTGTGCATTTGCCCGTCTTAACAAGCGACTAAAAGAATGGGGCATCTAGAGAAATTTTTCATCGACGTTATCAACCAGTTGGCTTTTTGAAGAGCTGAAACGCAGTTCGTGTATGTCTCTGGAGGATACATAAATGGCCCAATGATGGCTAAGTGATGTGAAAGAATCTACCACTTTCCCCATCTTACAAATACAGATATAAAGTGATAAAATGAAACAAAAAAGTTTTATACGAGAGTAAGGTGAACAGTCCTGGGCCTGACACAGAGATAGCCTTCCAATCAGCAAAAATGTGTTTCCTGCCTGGATGCATGTGTCATTAGTTCGAATGACAATTTTCAACTTGTTCTCGCAAGTAGTTTGTTTACACAAATTTTTGCAGTTGACGTCTTGCGTATGTTTCGTTATAATGGATACATTTTAATAACCGAAGTTAACAAAAATTTACCGGACTTTGTTTCTTCCATGTCAACCTTTAAAAAGTTGCCAGCTGAATTAAAACGTGGTCGCATGTCCCTTGAAGATGACCAAAAACCGCAACCACACCGGAAACTATTAAAAAAGTACACGATATCTGAAAAAAGGGTGCGAAACATCTTGCACAAAGAATTAGGAATGCAAAAGCTCGCAGCAGTCTGGAACAATAGGAATCCGACCGGTTTTGTGCAGCTATTTGTTACCATGGATGAGACATGAGACCACTACTACAAGCAATGGGTAGAAGCCGGTGGTTCAGCGCCAAAGAAATTAGAGTTCGAAAGGCAAATTAGAACTGAACTAGTTGAGTTAGAAAGAAGAATTCGTAGCCTAGCTTCAATAAGCAACAGAGAAGCTGAAAACACTACCTCGTCCTCATCTGTAATCGAACCAAGCCATATTCAACACCCAGTTTCATAAATCCATACTAGCAAGATCATTAAGCCACCCACGTTTGACGGTCAGACATGGGAAACGTATCGCCTCCAATTTGAAGCTGCAGCTAGAGCCAATGGCTGGGCTGAAAAGGAGAAGGCGGCTGCATTGATAGTGCGGCTGCATTGATAGTGTGGCTGCGAGGACAAGCAGTAACCGTTTTACACTTACTCCCTCAAGAAGAACCCAGTTATTCATCTCTCGTCCAAGCTTTGGAGACAAGATATGGCCAGCAGCATTTGAAAGGGGTATTTCAAAGCCAGCTAAAGATTCGTAGTCAGAAACATAATGAGAGTCTACAGGAATTCGGGGCTGACATAAGAAGATTGATTCATCTGGCCTATCCACAGGCGACCAAAGATTTCCAAGAACAAATCGGCATAGAGGCATTCATTGATGGACAAAAAGATGCGGAAATGCAGCAAGTCCTTCGTCTACAACATCACAAGACGCTGAAGGAGAAACTGATTGCAGCCCAGGAATATGAAGCGGTAAAACTCATATCCAGATCTCGCGCAAAAATTAGAGAAATTAAATCCCAGGAAAGTGAGGACCCCAATGCTAATGCTATTCCCCAACCTACCCTCTCGCAAATATTAAATATCCTGCAAAATATACAACGAAATAGCCAAAATAAGAACAGAAGATGCTTCAATTGCGGAAGAATCGGGCACCTTCAAAGAACCTGAAGAAGCAGAGCTCGTTCTATAAATAGAGAATCAGGGAATGAGGCCGGAAAGTCACAAAGATCAATCTTACGAAGCCCGTCACGAAGTCCAACAAGAAATAGTCACAGCAGCTATGCGTCCCGAAGTAGCTAATCACCCACACCGAGCCGGTTTTCTAGTAATAATTAGGAAGTAGAGCATCGTAGAGTCCATCTGTATAGCAACGCAGACATTCTCTCCAGGCGACCCTGTTTAGAACGAGAATGCCAGTACAGTAAGGGTCTCGGAGAACAGGAGGAATCAGTTGATAAAGTTACCCTTCGGGCAACCACTATCAAGCCAGAGGGCGGCGAAGAAGAAATCACCCTTGAAAGTCTGAGACTGGGACAGAAGAAAGACAATGACTTTAAAGGTTGTCCGAGAATGGCTTAAAAATAAAGTCACACCTACTTGGCAAGAGATAGCCAAATACAATAGAACTATAAAAGGCTACTGGACCCAGTGGGATTCCCTGTATCTTCACGATGACCTATTGCACCGGAAGTGGGAGAGCCCCGATGCAGTACATGTAGTCTGCCGAGGTCACAGGTGAAAAATATATTGGAGGAGCTTCATAGCAGCCGTTCAGGAGGACACTTTGATACTAAAAGGACACTGGCACGAGTTCGAGAAAGATTTTATTGGGTCAATTGCCGACGGGATGTAGCGGATTGGTGTAAAAGATGTGATGTTGGGAACGACTGAAAGCCCACACCGATAAAGCAGAAGCTAGAATCGACAGGCGTGCCACAGATACACATTTTGAGAGGGGCGACAAGGTATGGCGGTGCAATCCCAAGCAGCGAGGAGGACTTTGTCAGAAATCGCAACGGAACTGGCGAGGCCCCTACTCTGTCTTTAAGAAAAATCAACGACCTGATCTGCCGCATTCAACTGTCAAGCGGGAGGTAAATCCAACGTAGTTCACAGTGGAAAGATAGCCCCATACCATATTCCAGATCCTCCCCATTTTCTCCAGCCAGCTCCCAGTAATCAAGTTATTCAGGGCGAATAACTAGAGAGGAGGGAGCAATGTTACGCAGCACCCTATAGCATGCTGCGGTCGTCATAAGTAAAGGTACGAGTAAATAAAGAAGATAGAATAATCCAGAAAAGTCTCGAAATGTCATTCCTTGTCAAAGAAAAGTCCGGATTGTTCGAGACAGTCCTAGAAGGTCGAGGAAAGCTATATAAGTCGACGACCTAACGTCAGAGTTTCAGTTTTTATGATAGACGTTACATGTTAATGTTATCAGTTAGAGTTATTGTAAAAGTTGAATTTTCAATAAATTGTGATACCAAAAACCAGCGTAATAATATTATTTAATATTTATTTAAATAATAAAAAACATTTTTTATTTCATTTCAGTGTTGATTTTGTGCCCCTTTTTACACAAAATTAATTTCAGGAATGGAAACCCATCACAAACTAAAGATTATTAATATTTTTTATTGACGGCCCATATATTCCGACTAGAGGAAAATATGGGCCAAATACGCAGGTCAGGTTTCGCGGATAAATTTACATGAATATAGCACCGTTAACTTATTATAATAGCCAAAAAAGTGCCTTTAAATATTCACATTTGAAAAATAAAATGTATTTTGATTAAGGTGGCTCATAATTTCCTCTAGTACCTTATAAATAACCTTTAAGCCTGGCTAAAACATTACAGAATAGACCCCATAGTGCTTTAAAATAATGATTTGGTAATATTAAAAAAATATAATTTAAACCATTATTTTTTATGTAAATATATATCAAAAAATTGAGAATTCTTCAATAGATGTTCCAACTAGGATGGACAGAATCGATTATTTTCTGTTAATATCGATTATTTTCGATTACTTCAATTAATCGATTTATTTTGATTAATCGATTATTTCCGATTATAATCGATTATATATTTTGATAATTGTCCAATCCTAGTTCCAATACCCTGTACTTAATTAATAAACAAATGTAGGCACAATAGTTGAACATCTATAAATTAATATTATATTTTTAAAACCTCGAATTGGTGAGAACCCTGAATTAATTAACAAATACACCGTAAAAAGCTCAGTCGTATTTTTAAAATGTACTAATTGAGATCCATATGAATTATTGATGACAAGTTTGAAATGTTTGCGTGAAAAATATTTAATTTACAAAAATTAGGAAGACATAAATAATATTAATGTTAGATGCGGTGTGTTAATGAATCAAAATGAAGCTCTAGTTTTGTCAATGGCGATAATCAATCCTACTTACTATGTCACACTATGTTACACTATATTAAAAACGACTTAATTTTAAAATTGGAATCATCATTATATACAATTTTAATAATAAAAATACATAGTTCCTAACATTCAGTTCTGCATGTAAACTTATATTGTTACCGAAGTGTGTGTAAACACAAAACAAAACTATTTTTTAAGTTGACATGACCATTTCGACAAATTAAAATTATTTTTACTTATTGTTAATAACTAAAACTACAAAAACCGACCATTTAGAAGATCTGCATTAAAATAATTAATAACTGAAGAATTAATTATTAAGTTGACAATCATTATCAACTTTAAATGCTTTCTGTTAAAAAATTAAAAATAAAATTATCTTAATATAAGAGTTAAGATCTTCAGACTGTTGAAATTGACTTAAAATATTACTGGCAGAAAATTATTAAGCTTTCTTAAAAAACGAACTTATGTTTTTGCTACCACTGGCAGCCTTAGCTCTGGCCTTTTCTTTGGCCAATGCTTTACCGTCTGGCTTACTTAAATCTAAAATATTTGAAGAACTAGTACTTTTGAACTCCTCTTCAACTTTAACCTAAAAGAAAATAATATTATACTGATTGATCAAATAACATTTTGTAAAAAAATGAAAAGCCATTCACATGAAATAGTTTGAATTAATCTCATAATTCTCAGAGTTTATTGGTCGAATGTCATAAAATACAAAATTTTTAGGAAAGCAAGAAAAACATTCAGATCCACCCCGAGTGCACTTAAGTCACAAGTGACAATAGACTGTACTGAATTGTGTAGTATTATTTTTATAATCCTATAGAGTTCATCTGTTAGTGCAACACATAGAGCTTGGCAATATATGGTACCTTCGATAAAAGAGAGTTATAACTTGGAAAAAAGTAAATTATTAAATATCACACTAATTGAGAACACTGAAGAGTAAACTGGTCTCAGTTCTAAACCATGACACTCTTAATAATTTTTTTATTAATAATGCGGAAAACATAATTCAGAATCTAGAGAAACCAGATATACTTGCTACTTCCTTTATAAATATACCACAATTAAAAAATTCAATGTTTTCTCAGCCAGTTACCCAAACTGATATAGAATCAATTGTAAAAGATTTAAAAAATAAAAGAACAGAAGATATTGATGGATTTAATGTATTTATAATGAAAAAATGTCTAAACCTTTAACTATAATTATAAATGCTTGTCTAACTGAAGGAATATTTCCTGATAGCATGAAAATTGCTAAGGTATGTCCTCTATTTAAAAAAGGAGACCCTTCTCAGCCTTGCAACTTCAGACAAATTGCTGTACTTCCCATATTCTCCAAAATCTTGGAAAAAATTATGTATAATAATCTAATATCATATTTAAATTCTTCCAACATACTCCAGTATGGTTTTAGAAGGGGGCGATCTACAATAGATGCAGTATTATCTCTAGTACAATATATAGAAAATTGTTTTGAAAAAGCTGAAAACTGTTTAGTTGTATTTACAGATCTAAGCTCTGCTGTGTGGATCATTAAATTCTATTATCAAAACTGGAGAGGTATGGAGTACGAGGGATTTGTTTACAGCTTTTTGAATCTTATTTAACAGATGTCAAACAGTCATCATCGAAAATTGCAAAAGTTCATTGATGCATATCAGGAGAGGTGTCCCTCAGGACTCAATTTTAGGTCCATTACTCTTTTTGATATACATTAATGATCTTCCTGACCATATGCATTTTGTAAACCTTATCACATGTATATTTGCTGATGATACTTCTTTTTGTATTAATACTAAAAGAGGAACAGATCAAGTTTACTCTGGTATCATGATTCAGGCAAAGAGGTGGTTTTCTGTAAACGACCTGTTTTTAAATGACACAAAAACTATCTCCCAATTATTTACAGTAAATAGTGAACAAGTTAATAACAATTCTGTTAAAACACTTGGTATTAAAATTGATCCACATCTCAGATAGACAGATCATATTGAAACACTTTGTTCCAAATTATTACGAGCAGTTTTTGCTACCAGAAAAATACGCCAAATATGTGGTCAAGATGCAGCAATTACTGCTTACTATGCTCTATTTCATAGTCATTTGACATACGGGACAATATGTTGGGGCAATGTTGCTGACACACATATCTCAAGAGTCTTTATTTTGCAAAAATCAGCCATAAGAGCCATAACACATTTTTTCCCACTCATATATCCATAACTATAATACAAGGCACAAAGATAACTTAGTCCCTATCCAGTATAGACTGGAAAGGACAAAGAAATATTATATTGAGCTATACAATATACTACCACTTAATTTTAAAAATCAGCCTATAGATAAATTTAAACATGCATTAAAACAAATGTTATCCAATAATTGCCTACATAGCTTAGATGAATTTAAATCAATACAGATGGAGGATGGAGGCTGCCATTGTGGCCTCTGAGTGATTCAGTGAACAGTAACTATGTTGTAAATGTTTGTAAATTTCAATTTTATATTATTATATTTAGGTAAATTTTATTATATATTTAGTTTTAAATGTAATTTGAAGAGCCATAAAATGTAATATTTTCTCAAGTAAATAAAGATATTGTATTGTATCTAGTGGCGAATATGTGGAGTTACAGATATGACTCTGTTTGAGATGATGCACCATTTAATTTTGGGAATTTGTATCTAATAAACTCAAAACCCAAGTTTTTCAAGTTATAACCATTTGATCGGATGTGCTATATATTGAAATTAGTTGGACATCTACTCTAAGTAAACTAAAGCACAGGATTTTAATTTTACCTTTTTTGGTTCACCAGATGTTAAAGCCACACTTTTCCTCTTTAAGTTTGGAACTGAAGTATCTTCGGGTAAATTCAAATATCTTAATAATTTTTGGCTCAAATCGTCCATTAGATACTCAGAAACAATGCCATGTGCGTATTTCAAATAGGCATTGTTGTCTATGGATTCGCCTCTAGTTGCTTTGACGTAAGTGGCCGAGATAGCACCTCCTGACACGTTTATGTTTTTTTGCTTGAGTATTTCAGATACACGTTCCGTTTTCTTTTTTAACCAAGTCAGTGTTTTTTCTTCATTATATTTGAAGGCATTGAGTTCTTCATCTCCCTGAAAATTATTTGGTTGTGAGCTAATGTTTGTCAATGTACTACAGGAAACAGTAATTTGCATTTTGTTTGAATATAACCAACCTTTTTATCTGCAATTAAATTCAAGTACTTGAGACCACTAGACTTAAGTAGTCTCTCAGTTTCTGGAAACTCTTCGTCTCTTAACAACTGGTCTAAAGGTATTGCCTGATTCGTACAATATTTCCTAAGGTATGGAAGTACTAAAAAATAAAATTCTTATTTGATAAGATAATACAAAAAAATATTTAAGAAAACCATAGAAATATATCAGAAGGACATCACAGTTTTACCAAGCAATCAGTATGGATTTAAGCCCAAATGATCTGTTGTTAAAAATCTTCTAAGTGCAGTTAACTAGTGGACAGCTTGGAATGACAACAACCAGCCAATTGATGTGAAATATCTTGATTATGATAAAGGTTTTGATAAAGTTCCACATAGAAGGCTGGAACACTTTGTGGATTAGGAGTTTCTTATTCAACCGACAGTTCTGCGTAAGAATACATGGACAGGTGCAAAACAACCAGTAGAAAGTGTAGTACCCCAAGGTTCGGTCACAGACGAGGTTCGGTCACAGACGATGAAAAAATCTACTGCAAGCCACTGGTAAGTTCTCACAGAATTAAACAAGACTTGAATAAAATAGGAATCTGGTCCCAGCAATGGCTACTATCTCTTAACATAAAATAGTGTACAGTATTGCACATTGGTCCAAATAATCCCCAGACACAGTACACCATAGATACAAACACAATAACTGAAGTCAAAACACAAAAGGATCTTGATGTAATCATATCTAGAGACTTAAAATGGGAAACCCTCAATGCTAATATAGTGAAGAAAGTCAACAGTCTCATTCACTTCAGCAAAATAGCTTTTAAAGGCCATTTCGAAGACAAGATCCCGAAACTGTACACAACTTACATAGGACTTAAGATAAAATTTGCACAACCGTTTGGGATCCATACTTTGTTAAAGACATTGAAATGCTGGAAAGAGTACCACTAACCCTACAAAACAATGAGTATTGTGATTGGCTAACCAAACTGAAAATTATAATTTCTTTAAATTCATTTATTTTTTGTCCGATATTTTGAATCTTCTTGTAGATATCAAAGGTTTCTTGGCACCATTTTACTGAGTACAAAACTGCAAAACTTTTGTCTAATTTAATCAACTTTCTATCTATTTAAGAAATACCAACACTGTCCCTATGAAATAGTAGGTTATCTACATATTTGAGAGTCTAACAGCTACAATTTTGTTCTTTAATTATGGGATAAACTTGTCAAAGATAATGTTTAAAGTTTTTTATCTAAAATTTTAATTATATTTAATTGTTTTGTAAAGTTTTCTTTGGTAAGCGGGATATTAACTAATCTATGGATTATATGCTGCTAACTTTTGTGTATATGGATGAGATGCACTATTATTTATTGTGATGGCTTATGAAATATATCAAAACTATGGGCTTTATTAATTTTAATATTTAAGTCTAAAAACTTTATTGAATTATCCTTCCATAGTAAATTTAATATTATTGACAAAAAATAATAAATAAATTAACTGTCTACTAGTACCAGTGAAATCAATCAATATGTCCTCAACATATCTATGCCAATAAAGGCATAAAGCATTGCTATGAATTTTATGTTTTATATTATCCATAAATATTTCTGCAAGCAAAGAACTTAATGGGTTCCCCATAGAAATATTTTATTATCAGTAATACATATATAAACATGTTTGCATAGTCGTCAGTACACATAAATGGTAAAATACACCACATTTTACATACATTAACATACAGCATATTCTTATAAAATTTAAAATAAAATAGGATTTTAAGAGATCATGGTTGGTAATAGTAATAAAAAATATATTAAAAAAATACAATATTAAAAATATTAGGTGACATGTTTCACTCGTTCATTCTTTAAAAAAAAAAAAATTTCATATAGATAATAACGGCACTAAATAAAACCACTTAGAGGCACTTAAAATAAATAGATTTCAAAATTCATATATCCTATTAAATGATCAATTAGATATTAATAACTCACCTATATTAAATCTCTTTACCTGTTCTTAGTTTTCTGTGAGACAATTCTGGTAATGATACCTTGGAATTTTATTAAAATATTTCATAAGTACTCTAACGGCTGCTGTATTCACCAACAGAAGTTAATTGACTACACTAACAGAAGTTAACTAACAGACTGTCAAGTAGCTTATCAGTCAGTTAAATTATTTTTTGGTATTCACCGACCATATTTTACAGATATCAAGTTAAAGTTAACAGCTTGAATTTGAGCAGTTAATAGCTTAACTCGCTAATACCGTATGACATATGACAGTAAACTGTTGTCATTTATTATTTTTATTGTTGAGTGTTGTAAATTATTGTTAAGTCGATAAAAACAAGCAAAGGATTTATATATTTAACATGGAAATAATAGACTTCCATAATTTATTATCGTCTTCATCAGAAAGTGAAGACGACATTCCACGACGATACAGAGTGGTAAAACCTCGAAATAATTTATTGGACCTAGACGATATTGAATTAAAAAAAAAAAAGGTTTAGAATAAATGAAGACATTTTCCAGAGACTTATTGAATTGGTGGAAATACAAGAACCAATGAACAATAAAAATATTCCAATCTCAAAAACAAACCAGATAATAATTTTTTTGAGGTTTTATGTCACAGGCAGTTTCCAAATAAACATTGGTGACCATTTTAATGTTGCTCAGTTTACTATATCGAGAATTGTGACCAAAGAAACAAGATATATAGCTGCATTGCATCCACAATTTGTTAAAATGTCCATAATAGAAGAGTTTTTTAATACTGGAGGACTGCCAGGAATAATTAGAGCTCTCGATTGCTCACACATTAATTGACAGAAGGAAATGTACCAGAAGTGTACAGAAATAGAAAGGGTTGGTTCAGTATTAATACTTAAGTTGTTTGTGATGCTAATCTTAAAATTAATGATGTAGCTCGATGGCCCAGATCTGTTCATGATTCAACCATATTTAATAATTCTCTCACAAAAACAATTAATTTTCCCCATTCAGTCTTGTTGGAGATGGAGGATATGTATGCAAGGCATATTTTCTGACACGTTTAGCAATTCCACAGACTATCAGAGCAGCGTTATAACAGCTCTAATTTTAACAAGAAATCCAGTAGAACGATTGTTTGGCGTTTGAAAAGATTTCCTTGCTTATCAATGAGAGTTGATAAAGACCTGGTATGCCAAATAATTGTTGCAGTAGCTGCTTTGCATAATCTCTGCTTAGAAGAAGATGATATAGATGAGCAGCTGATTGAAGAACATAATTGGGAAGAAGTAGTTGTCCCTTATGATGTACGTCATCCCCAAAACCAGGAAAATTCAGCAACACGGGGATACACTTATTACTAGTTTTTTTTTGCAATAATTTATGCATAAAGGACATTTTAGTTATTATTTGTATAGTTTTTAGTTTGTATTAAAATAGTTATGGACTAAAATTTCTAGTATGTATATTTTTATCAATATGAAACCAATTGCGAAATGTCTTATTTTGTTATATAAAACGGCATAACGTGTTACATACAGTATTTTTTACTAATTTTGACTAAAATTGTGTTTTAGTTAAACATTACTGACATTTAGACAACCAATATTACTTTCTTGTATTGTTAGTTGCATATGCATCATTTTATTGATTATTAGCACCATGATTAGAACATCATTATACATTATTTATTCTCAACAACTAGCAGTGTGTTATTTTGTCTTGTATTGTTTTATTTTATGCTGATTTGGACTGGAAAATAAGGACCAAAACAACATTAATACTAGGTTGTAAGTTTAACCAAATTCTATTTATATAAGTCAACCTGCCCTTCTTTGATATAAACTTTCAATAATAATGTATATTATTGATTTTAAAACAAAAAAAAAGGTTTATTTTTATTTTCTTTTCGCAACTGGTGACATAATCAATTTTTCAAAACCAGTTTCATAATGTTCAACATTAAGCAACTGGCTGCATGAAGTAGATCATTTTGACACTTGCCTCGATTACAAAAAATTTCACTTTATATGTCAAAGTTAGAAAAATGTTATATTATTTTTTTTTTGTTCTTGTAAGACAGCTTGATTTTTTATTTTCTTCCCAGAAGCTATCTATTCCTATTTTTTATGCTGACATACTACGAATTCAATCGTAGCTGCACAAATATGGTAAAGTAAACAAACTATTAGATAATTCGTAGTTGATATCCTAGCAAAGAACGCAAACTATGAGAACTCGTATTTGACAGTCAACGTGTTAATTATTGTTGTAAATGTATAAAACTAAACTGAAATATACATTTTCTAAGGAACTGAAATTTATTATTTTTTTAAAGTTTAAGCTAGCTTTTAAACCAAGCACCCAGGGGCACTTACTTAAAAAAGAGGAATTTTAAGATAAAAAAGCGTTATCTTAAGTTTTTAATTTAATATTTAATTCATTCTTTGAGCTTTAACCCATTTAGGATGACTGTCGTACTGTTAAGACTGCCGATATTCCATCATGCAGGCTTGGCGCCATACTTTAACATTTTAATTCTTATACATGTTTTCCCGCGCTCGGCTGACGGTGGCACGCGCCTCTTTCCAACGGCCGTCCTGAAAGGGTTAATCTAATCCTTAATATTAAACAATAAATATGATCTAATTAAAGAAACTAGGGGTTGACAAAGGTTAAAAAATTATCGCTGAACATACATAAAAAAAAAATATCGCGACGAATTGAGAACCTCCTCCTTTTTTGAAGTTGGTTAATAAAAATTACTTTGAAAACGGACATAATACAAAGTGGGTAAATAATGAGATTGTAAAAATGGGAAATAATTTAAAAAATATGTATTGGCTCACAAAAAATGTTTCTGATAGTCATATATTGGAACGATACAAAATAGAAAAAAAGAGGTATGCACAAAAAATTAATAAATGCAAGAAGCAATTTTTTCAAGAAAATTTAGCAAACAAAAATATGCAACAAAAACAAAAAATTGTTTGGAAAACTGTTAATTCCAAACTGAACAAACAAAAAATTGCTAATTTTAGTTAAATACATAATGCTAATGGTATAAGATTAACAGAAAATTTAGATATTGCCAACATGTTTGTAGATTACTTTTCTTCAATTGCTAGTTATGCAATTAAAAATCATTTTTCCAACACTACTATTAATAATTACACCACTATGTTCGCTCCAAACACATTTCAGTTTATAGAAGTGAATTATAAACAAGTGATAGAAACAATTGCATCTCTAAATAACAGCAATGCAGAAGGAATTGATTGCATTTCCACTAAAATTATTAAGACAATTGCCCCATACATTGCGAATTCATTAGCTTATATAATCAATAATTCCTTGCTACTTGGAATCTCCCCAAACGCTCTTAAAATTGGGCTTGTGACACCAATCTTTAAAAAAAGGGTGTCTCTTGTCAGCGGATAACTACAGACCTATTACAATCCTCACTATAATATGTAAAGTTTTTGAGAAATGTGTAGTATCTTTTCTAAAAAAATTTAATATCTTAACTGAACATCAACATGGTTTTCTTCCAGACAGGTCAACGGAGAGTGCAACTACTGCTTTCTTCAACTATATATATTGACAGCTAGATAAGGGGCAGTATGTGGGTGCACTCTTCTTTGACTTGTCCAAAGCTTTTGACACAATTGACATATCCATTGATCAAAATAAAATACATGCATTAGGTTTCAGGGGCATAATTTTAAAATGGCTAAGTTCTTATTTAGATTCACGTCAGATATGTGTAAAAGTGGGTAACTGTAAATCAGAATTGAAAAGTCTAACCCAAGGAGTGCCACAAGGCTCAGTTTTGGGACCACTTATATTTTTGTTGTATGTAAATGATCTTCCCCAGCATGTGTCTGCAGATTATAACATACTCTATGCTGACGATACAACTTTAGCATCTCATGCTACTTCTCCAGATGAGCTGCAGAAGAAGCTTCACTTAGTAGATTCAGATTTTTCAACTTGGTGCAATAAAAATTCCTTAATTTTAAATTCTGATAAAACAGTTGCTCTTCAGTTTTTTTCAAGCAATAGAATTTATGATAATATATGTGTAAAGGTAAATTGCAATGATGTCTACTTGTCGCAGAAAACAAAATTTCTGGGGGTACTGCTAGATAGTGATATGAGCTGGGAATCAAATAATAATTACATCTGTAAAAAGGTTAATAGCGGTTGTTATGCTCTTCTTCAATTAAAACAGATGTTTACATTTAACCAACTTCTACAGGTATATTATGCAATTGTATATTCACACATATCATACAATATTACACTCTGGGGAAATTCTCCTGCTGCTACAAGAGTATTTATTGCACAAAAAAGAACAATTAGACTTATCTTCAATCTGGAATCAAGACAAACATGCAGGGATCATTTTATTAAACATCACATACTCACTCTACCCTCAATATATATTTATAAGACAATCTTATATTAAAAAAAATGAAGCTAAATTTTTCAGGAACAATGATTGTCACAACTATCCCACTCGTAATTGCAATATGTTACGTACAATTAGGCATGTATCTGCTCTCTATGAACATAGTCCTGAGTGTGCAGGAATTCAATTATTTAATAAATTGCCAGCTGATATTAAAAACATAAAATCCATTAACAGCTTTAAACAAACATTAAAAAATTTTTTAGTAACAAAATGTTTTTATAATATTAAGGATTATTACTAGGTAACGTAATATATATTATGTATATGTATGTGTGTGTAATATATGTGTGTATATGTGTATGTATGTGTATGTATGTATATTCAAAAGTAGATTTTAAAGTGTGTTTTGTCCACTACACGTATCTTGACATATCCTACATCATTGTATAGTGATCAAAAAGGACCAATAAAGATTTATTATTATTATTATACTGTAATTATTTTGACCTAATTAAAGTTTTGCCTTTTTTTCATCCAGCAATAGCTGAAAAGTCATTATTGTATTTTAACAATGTTGTAGCAGTTTCAAAAATGTATTTGAACCTTTGAAACATATTTTCTCAATAAATTAATTTTAGGGATAATATAAAAATTATTTAAAGCTCTGTTTACACCTCTCATTTAACACATCCAATTAGGATTCCTAACTTGTACTAATCTGTACAAAACAGAACAAATATACCAAGGCCCTTTCTCCATATAGACCAAAAAGGATTTACACTACTTTTACAGTTAATGAATCATATTTTACATACCTACAACATTATATAGAATCAAGTTCAATTTAAAAACACTAAAATATACAGCTATAACAGTTTGATATGCTGCAATTAACACATTTAAAGTTAATTAGCCATAGCATTCATGATTCAATTGCAAAATTAAAAACGGTATATAATGAAAACATAATTTCACTATAAAATAAAAGTATTTACCTAAAAATATAGGATCTATAGGGGTAGAAAGATGCAACTTTCCATCGCTTTTTACAGTTTCATCTATGAACCATGATCTTTTGCCTTCATTGAATGTTAAAACTTCTTGCACGGAATTATTTGCTGGAGAAAATAAGAATACAGCCGACTCTCCAGTATTTGGATGCCTCAAAGTAACAATATCTGGAGTTCCACTACCAGTATATTGGTCAGACAGTTCTAAAGCTTCACCTGAAAATAAACAGTTTTTATCCAATGCGAAACTTGTATGTAAACATCGATTTTTATTTAAAACCAACCTACATAAATATGTGTTATAATTGGCCTGCAATATGTATACCAATTTTCAGTGATATAAAGAACAGAAAAAAGAAAACAAGACCATTATAAACCAAACAAACAATATTACTTGCCTTTTAAAAGAAATATCCACGAATTAGCTGGTTGTTGCAAATTCGTTTTTATACATTTCTTCGGGGATGATTTAACTCGTGGCATTTTTATTTTAAATAATTTCTATAATTAATCAAAACATCATCTCACAATCCGGTAAAATCCAATATAATTATTGTTGACAGTGTTGTTCCCGGGAAAAAAAATAGTGACACCCATAGATAAAATAAAAATACTAAAAAAGGAATGGAATGAGCCCACTAGTAGCTAGTAGCACGATTAGTTCTGGCGAGCCACAAAAGGTTCTTTGTTTGGTTACAAAAGTGTAGCACTCAACTACACCGTTTCTTTGAAATCCAATAAATTCACACTAAATTTGAATTATGATTTAGGTTCATTCTTACACCATAGTTACAAACGGACGAATATCTAACAAGGATAGAGAGATAGTTGATACACGGTGTTCCGTGCCTTTATCCAGTGCTACCAATGGAAAAAGGAATGCGCACTTGTCATAAAATCCTTTACGTTTACGCATCCTTCATGTTTATTTTTTAAGCTTTTGTTCGTATTCGCCATAGCCATCAGAAGGATAGGTATAATATTTGAGAGAATTCTTCCTTTACATTTTGCCGATAGTTGTACTATACCCAAATTAAAGAAAAATAAGTAAATGAACACAGAACGTGACCGTGCTAGTAAATAGTAAATAGTAAACAGGATCGCATTAAGGGGTTTTATAGAAAAATTGTAATCGATTTTATTAAAAACATTTTTTATAATTTTTTTTTAATTATTAATAAAATTCTATATAAAGTGTGTGTCTACTTAATTTAAGTTGTAATCATGTACAGGGTGTTTCAGAATATAGTACCGATTTGTAGATCTTAATTAATTTTTCCATTCTACAAAGTGATAAAGTGAATTTTATAAACACATAATTTCTAATTTTTTTTATGGTTAACAAAAGTATGTTTGCTTATTTTCAAAAAGTCAGTTTAAATATACAGACTTTGCAATTTTAATGCAAAAAATGCAATTTAATTTTAACAACTCAAATTATTATGAAATAGGATCGTTGATGTTCATACTTTGCACTTTTACACATAAATTTACTAAAATTTGCAAAGTAGTTTTATAAAAAAGGACCCTAAGTATGTTAATTAAGATTTGCCAGAATGTTCTAAGTTCTAAAATTTGTAAGCATTTAATCTTGCCTTCCGATGTATTACAAAGTGAGGTTTTCATTGCCCCCCATTATTCCAAGACGTGCTTACGGTGGTTCTTTGTTGTGTTTGGTCACCACTCCAAAGAAATAACAAGAGGGAACAGTCAGAGTAAAAAAACAAACTCAAAAGAGATAATAAATGATGATACTCTCCCTAATTCACCCTATAACAAGTTAATTTTAATTCCTTAAACCCATCGCCCAGACAACACACCAAATCCCAGAGATATCCACAGAATATCTTTTGTGTATATCCAATATATCCACAGGATATTACCATAGATATCCCGTGGATCTAATGGATATCCAAATGTTCGTCTATATCCAGGATATAGAAGATATCCTATGGATATCCAGCAAAATATCTAATGGGTATCTCCCAGACAATACACGAAATCGCAGAGATATCTACAGAATATATTTTGTGGATATCCAATATATCCACAGGATATTATAGATATTCAGTGGATCTAATATGGATATCCAAATGTCCGTCTATATCCTGAATATAGAAGATATTCTATGGATATCCAGTAAAATATCTAATGGATGTACCTTTAGTAGAGGTTCATAAGTAACCAATGGATATATCCTATATAGATGTTTAACATATCCGGTGTACAACCATTACTTGATATATTTAAGATATCGAAAATTATATGCCTATATGGTGTCGTATTTAATGCGCCATTAATTTTTTTTAAAGATAATTGAAACTGCATAATCTAAAAACATTCCATATGAAGAAAATCAGCATTTCAGTAGCATAACATCGGAACGCCCGGTATTTTTAATTTGGTATATACACCAATATTGTACACCATACCTAAAAAACCACCAAAATATCATTGAATATGTGAAGTAAGTTTTAAACTAAATACAACGCACGAGTTATCTAGCATATGAATATCTTACAAATAACTCTTATTTTTTATTGTTATATTAAGTATAGTTAGGTAAAACAAAGACAAATATTATGAGCAGGCTAAATATATTTTAAAGAAGTAAACTATATAAACATACTATTATATTAAATAACATATTACATTTAAGCTGACGAATGAACATAATACCTGCAGCCAAGGAAAACCTAAACCTAATCACACATACACACATATTATATTGGCGCCGCAATTTCAACTGGAACTTTCTTACTGAAAAAAAAAGACGCTCTGTTGTAGAATTCCTCAAAAAGTGAAACTATATTTAAAATCAAGCTATACCCAAAACGAAAATGAAGTCTGAAAAAAGCATTTTATGCAGAGTGTCACTTATACAATATATAACACCAACTAATAATTTAAAAAGGCTGGACACCTGTGTATATATTATACTTATTTATCTAAAATCTAAACTGTTGGTTCAGCTAAACATAACCTAACCTTACTTGTTAAATTCTTCATGCATGCTATTGACTACAAGGCAGATGTAATAAGATTACCTTAACCTGTGAAAAAATACCCCTTTCTAATTAATTATAACAATCATTAAACAATAAAAACCAAACCGAATCACCAACAATAATCACACGAAATAAGTAGGTATGTGAAGGTAGGTAAAATAACATCCAACTTAATTATAATAAAATAGAGTATCGTAAAAACGACATGAATTTCTAGTTGTGAATTACCTAAAAAGGACACGGATTTTAACGTACATTGCATACAACCTACTTAACACTCTTAGGACCGATTCCACCGTTGTGTTAAACGAAGCTTAAAATGACATTTTTACATTAACAATGTCATTTTAATCTGCGTTTAACACAACGGTGGAATCGACCATTAATAACGTGAATTTAACCATTGTCTTATTTAACTAAAGTCTATCAACCTTTTACACTAATAAATTTAGGTTTTAAAGCTTACTTACCTCCTTTTAATCCAAAATTATCAAATGAAACTCATACTCTCGGCACAAACAAAACGAAAACAAACTATTAAATGGCCGATGGCACCTGTGAGGGCAGAAAATATCCGCGTCTGCGTTCGCGTTTATTGCCAATATTATTTATCTAGCGGATATCCGTGGGATATTGAATACAACTCACTAATTTTAAATTTCTATAAACCATACCTACATGCTTTCTTAGTTATCACATGGCGTAATATTTAAGTAATTTAATAATTATTAAATCAATTCACATATTTTCCGATATTTAGGTACATATTATATCCATAAATTACATCTAGTGGATATCCACCATGGTTTGCGTTCGCGCCTAGACTTTGATATATTTAGTGGATATCCATGGGATATTGAATATACCTTAAAAAAATAATTTTAAATATCTAAACGGTACTATTAGCCACAATGGCGCAATTTTTTAATAATTTGTTATATAATTACTATTATTTATATGGGCATTTGCATGTCTATAAATTACATCTAATGGATATAAAGTAGATATCCACCACGGATATTATTTTCCGAGACGCTTCGGGGCGACATAAAAATGATTGATGGTGCCATATTTGACTTACAGGTTAGGGAAACCTCACTCAATATCATGTAAACGGTAACGCATTGTGATTTGTAACCTCTGAATGACATATCAACAGAAAATAAATTACTGCTAATACGGCACCCATCAAATCTTACAACGAACCATGCGAATTAATAATTTACATGGTCTGCTCTAGGATTCAAAGTCGTGTTCGTTAAGCCAGTGAAAAGTCCTTAAATGAATACGCACCTCTTGCGCCACCAGCTACGACTTTAAAAGAATGCCATAGGCGGCGGCTGATTATTTAAGTACCGTTGTCATCAAATGATTATAATATACGGTTTACGTGTCAAACTAGTATTGATTTAGCCTCTGTAATTTTATTTGTTAACTGCTAGACTTATTTTTATTAATAACATTTTAATATTAAACGACGTAGAATGTAATACGTTCATACAAATTTTGTCGGTATGTCTTTGGTGCTATCGATCCATCTATACACTCCAGACTGGATCCGTCATGGATCCGTACAGAACGAGCAGGTAGAAAAGCGTAAAAATTTATAGTAAACTTTCATTCATGCACATTAGTGTTGTTTCACTCGCTTGAGAGATGTACGACAAAGATGAAATTTTTTAATAGAGCTTTATGTAAACAAAATATCGGACTAAAATGAATATCTCAAAATGAAGTCATTTTGTAATCTATCAAACAACAGTATTCATCATAAAATACAATAATTATATATTGGCAACAACGTGAATAGATTAATGTTGTGACTCATCTTGATAATTGTAGTATAAATGCCTTTAAAAGTTCAAAAACCGATTACTTCATTACTTAAATACGGCTTTAAAGTCCGACCTGATGTATATTACCATTGATTAGATTACCTGATGTAGAGAGTGATTCCAGTTATCACTTTATCTGCATGTCTAGAGTTACTGAAAGTGGAACTGATGGTTTGATGCTTTAACTCAAAGTTCACACATTACTTTAGCACGATTTAACAAATATTATAAATTATTTACATTTAACAATGAATATCACAAAATAACGTTGATCATTTAATACTACGATTCTCAAATTGTAGTAGCACTTGCTCAGAAAAGTCAATCACTTGGTATTTACGTTATTTGCGATACATAAATCAGAAATTACATAGCACAATTTAAGTAGTGTCAAGAAGAACAGAAATGCTTCCCCAGTTGGAATTGTACAATTGAAGGTTGCGTTAAGTGAATGGTTAGATGCTGACAAACCCAAATTCGACCATTTCAGTCAGTGTAACTAAATATTTATTAAAATAGGAAGGGTATTGTTACGTGAAATTAATTTTAAATTTATTTTTAATAACAACTTCTCTATAACCCCTCGTAACACAGTTTAAACGACAACCGGTCGCTTCTCGATTTTTGCAAAAGCACGGTTGCGCTCCGGTCCCTCATTTTTCTTCTACATTCCTAGTGAACTGTAAAACCTACTGCTGTCGCCCGGATCGTCCTTTTGGTGTATCGAGTTCAACGTGGTAGTGTGTAGTTTTCCATAATTATCTTGTCTTTTATGTGTTTATTGTATGTTAACGTTGGGATAATTGTCAGGTAATGTTTCTTTCATCTTATATTTTAACATTTTGCTGGATTTCGTTGGAAAACCGAAAAGATCGGCCATTTGCTTTTTTTATTAGCCGGTTATTTATGTTTTATTTTATATAGATTATAGCTACCCTAACTAATATTTTTAAGCTTTCTTTGATACTTTGATATATACGCGGGGAGGCAACTAAATAATTGAATTACAAGTCAGTCTGGAAATAGTTTAAACGGAAATTTATGGCTCTTAATTTATTTTGGCCTTAGAAATAGCTTATATTTTGTTCAGATGATGTAAAACTTATTCTCAGACAACACACCAAATCCCAGAGAGATATCCACAGAATATCTTTTGTGGATATCCAATATATCCACAGGATATCAGAAATATTCCGTGGATCTAATATGGATATCCAAATGTCCGTCTATATCCAGAATATAGAAGATATCCAAATGGATATCCAGCAAAATATCTAATGGGTATCTTCCAGAAAATACAAGAAATCCCAGATATATCCACAGAATATATTTTGTGGATATTCAATATATCCAATATGGATATCCAACCAAATGTCCGTCTATATCCCAGGATATAGAAGATATTCGGATATTCAGCAACATATGTTATTTTTAGTAGAGGTTCATAAGTAACAATGATTATTGAATAACGTCGAAAGAAAATAGCAGAGATAAAAAAATATTTTCAACACTCAAAATATTTGATTTTGCCCACTAAGGAGAAAGTCATCCTTCAGCAATAAATGGAAATTCTCGACTCCAGTCTCTAATGGAGTCTGATTAGAACAAAAATTTCGATCGAACTCAATTACGGCGGGTCAAGCATGAGTAGATGCGAAAGTGGTATCGCCATCTATACTTAGTAAGCAAAATCAAATAACATCTAGTGGATATCCACGATGGTTTGCGTTCGCGCCTAGACTTTGATATATTTAGTGGATGTCCATGGGATATTGAATACATCTTAAAAAAATTAATTTTAAATATCTGAACGGTACTATTAGCCACAATGGCGAGCACAATTGCGTAATTTTTTAATAATTTGCTATATAATTACTATTTATGGACATTTGCATGTCTATAAATTACATTTCATGGATATAAAATAGATATCCACCATGGACTGGACATTCAGTGGATATTGGGATGTGCAGTAGATATCCAAAGGATTTGGTGTGCTGTCTGGGTTGTTATAATTTATTTTGGCCTTATAAATATTTTATATTCTGTTTAGATGATGTAACTTTAATATTTGACGTGCTATTTTATATTCTGTTCAGACGATGTAATTTTAATATTTGTCCCGTTTATGCATAAGTCCGTTAGATTTTCAAACTGGCATGTACATATACTTTTACTGAGGCTCTTTTTATTTCTAAACCTGTAGTGGCTCCAGGAAGCTATAAAATCTAAGCTCCAAGAAGTCCCAAGTTACGTAGTTGCTCCTAGAAGCTATAAGGTCCAAGAAGTCCGAGTTACGTAGTTTCTTCAAGAAGCTCAGAGTTACGTAGTTTCTTCAAGTTCCGAGTTCCAAGTGCGAGCTCCAAGCTACAAGTTTTTAAGTAAAGGCGGATTGTCCACGACATACGACAGGGAAGCACCGTATTAGAATGCCAATGGTCGAGACTATTATACCTATTAAATACATATTCAACTTCATTCAATTCATTTTTTTTATCTATCAGTCAATTTTAATTCATCTTTTTACGTTTACTCACTAATTATTAATTTATATTGTATAAATTCACTCTTTTTAGTAAATGTATTAAATTTTCTCACTTTCTTTTATTTGCCAGATCTCATACAGATAACTTTAAGTACCAGAGACGGACTCAATTAAACAGGGCATATAAAATCAGATAAGTTTTCCAAGTTACTCAAAAACTTGGTGGCACTCAACTTTAGCCCGCGAACCGGTCAAGCTACTCTGATTTAATTTGTCCTGGTCAATTTATGAATCCACGCAGTATCAGCAATTTCAGCTAAATCACCTTTTAAGTACAATTGACATTGTAGAAATCAAAAAGAAGGTAACAGTATCCAGCCTCTCAAATGTACTTCAATGAGAAAATGAAACTATAAAACTATCCCACGTCACACATAAAATTTATTAATTCAAGGTGAACGAATTCGACTATAGAGCTATAAAGAGTTGACAAATTGTCATCTTTATTAATACTTGTCAACTCTTTATAGACTTGAAAATAGCTTTATATAGCCGAAATCCTTAAATTAATAAATTTTGTTGGAATAGATTTAGGTATAGTTTTATTTTCTCAATTATCAGTTCATTTGGCAACGTCCATGCCTATTTTCAGGCTTTTCTTTCCACCGCGAAATATTTTAAGCGAATGGAAATGTTATCTCTCTCTAGTAAATTATTCCGTATTAAAAAAAGAGACAGACCGATTCCTGCAAACGGTTCAGTTGTTATCAAACATTCCAAAGGCATTCAAAATTTGTATCGCCGAATCAGTGGCTCTAAAAATGTTCTAATTAATTTGACGAGACAGGGGCAACACATCTTTTTTTTTTGTATTTGAATTATTAATTGATTGAGCGGTTTGACTTTACACTCAGGGCTGGGCTCGCCCGATGTATTAATTTAAATATGTTGGATGTATTTCCAACATTACTTTTTGCCAAAGCTGCGAATAGTTATACTTTTCACTAGCCAGAAATAGTATCCGGGACATTATTTGCTATAATAAATGTAAAAAATAATATCTATAATATTGGAAAATAAACCAAATATGGATAAAAGTTGGGAATGTTAAATTTAATAAATAAAACAAGCTTAAATGAATTTAAATAATATAATTATGTACAAAACTAAACAACGATTAAACAATCAATGGTCCTAGAAAATATTTTAATGCTTATTTCTCATATAAATGGAGGCTGCGTCCTGACTTCCATAGTCTAACCTTTCACAATGTTTGAACATTTCGTTTGCGACATTGGCTAAAAACATCGGTTCTTGTTCGTCATTAGATAAGTCCAATCCAAGTTTCAAATCCATCTGGAGATGCTTCAAAGCTTGTTCTACGTTGCTAAAATCTTTTTTAACTATAATGTTTGCTTTTTCTTTTAAATACGGACTTGCAATTTGACAATGATTAAAAATGGCGAGAAAAAACGTATGGGTTATACCACATCGTTCGGCTAAAGAAAGTGCTTCGGCTAGGATAGCAAGGTTTACTCCTTTTATCATTTGGAGGATGAGGTTTAGTTTTGAAGCGTATCTGAAATTTAAATATTTCTATTAATATGTATGTTGGTTTAAACATTTTTCAGTAATAACCTTGGATAAAAGAGATCAGAAATGTAATATACTACCTGCGCGAATGTTGTCAATTTCTAAAGAAAGGTTAACGGAGTGGGGGAACTGGGAGGAGACCCGAACTCTGTGACAAGGACAGACTTTGATTATTACCATCATAATAAATTATTAGATTTACTAAAAAAGTGTTTAATGGAATGTTGTATTATGAAATAATATTAACGTGATTTTCTAATATCAAACAGATGCAACGACATTTTATGTAAAGAGAATACAATAGTTCTTTTATAGAATATTTCATTACCTTTTTATTTTCTATAGACTACAATAAAATGTTGAAATAAAATATTGTTAATCGACCAAGGAATGGTACTCATTGTTTACGAGTATTATAATAGCAGCATGTGCGCTAGCGAATACTGCAAATCAAATCTTGTAAGTTGAACATTATATTTTTTCTACAGCTATTACATAATATTAAAAGTTAGACAAAATGAGAAATTATGCTATTTTATATAGTAACCTCAGAAAAACGTATATTAAAGCTTCTTTCTTTGGGAATATTAATTAATATAGAGGATGTCACATAAATCTCCAGAAATGACTGAATCGATTATTTTCAAACCATCTATTTTTTTCGCATTTCCTTTAAAATCGATTATTCAATTATCTTTGAAAAATCGATAATCTTTAAAAAATCGAAAATAATCGATTAATCAAAAATTATTTATTAAAAAACCGATTAACATTTTTCAAAAAAAAAAAAAAAAATTAACCGAATTATTGATTATTTTAAATAATCTATTATTATCAAATCATCTATTTTTTCGTATTTCCTTTAAAATCAAATATTCGATTATCTTTGAACATCAAAAATTATCGATTATTCGAAAATAATCGATTAATCGAAAATGATCGACTAATAAAAAATAATCGATTAATCGAAAATAATCGATTAATCGAAAATAATCGATTAATTAGAAGTCGATTAAACAAGAAATCGATTTTCCAAAAAAAAATTACCGAATTATCGATTATTTTCAATTAATCAATTTTTTGGTATTTCCTTTTAAAATTGATTATTCGATCTTTGAAAAATCGAAAATAATCGATTAATTAAAAAAGGCGAATAAACAATAAATCGATTTTTCAATAATTCTATTTTCTTGTTTGTATTTCTTTTAAAATCTATTATTCCATTGAAAAATCGAAAATAATCGATTTATTAAAAAGCGATTAACCTATAAATCGGTGTTTGCAAAAAATAATAAATGAATTATCGAATATTCGACAATCATCGAAAAATCGAAAATAATCGATTAATCAAAAATAATTTATTTATTAAAAAGCCGATTAACTTTTAAATCGTTTTTACAAAAAAAAAAATAACCTAATTGAATCGGTCATTTGAGAAACAGCACATGTCAGTTTTAGATCATTTTTCAAAAAAAAAGAAAGAGTGAAAATCTCAAAACATACAAAAAAGAGTTTTGTACACTTAAGTTTAAAACTTGCTCTATTTTGGGTATAATACAATAATTATAATTTACCTTTAAATATTGTATTTTTGTAATAAAAACAAAATGGCCAAAAATGTGACATGTATCGTTTCTCAAATGACCCATTCAATGATCGATTATTTTAAATAATCGATTATTATCAAATAATCTATTTTTTTCGTATTTCCTTTAAAATCGATTATTCGATTATCTTTGAAAATAAAAAATTATCGATTATTTGAAATTAATCGCTTAATAGAAAATAATCGATTAATCGAAAATAATCGATTAATTAAGAAGCCGAGAAATCAATTCTCCAAAAAAAACCGAATTATTATATTTTTTGGTATTTCCTTTAAAATTGATTATTCGATCTTTGAAAAATCGAAAATAATCGATTAATTAAAAAAGGCGATTAAACGATAAATCGATTTTTTAATCAATATATTTTCTTTTTGTATTTCGTTTAAAATCTATTATTTTATTAACTTTGAAGAAACGAAAATAATTTATTGAAAGTATTCGATTAATCGAAAATAATCGATTAATTATAACGAATAATCGATTTTCATAAAAAAAACAAAATAATCGATTATTTTTGTAACCCCTATCGGTCGCTGTATAATAAATAGTAAATATTGCAAAAAGATGTCAACGGTTTGTCAGTGTATTTGGAACTTTCTATTTGTGTCTCTTGTATTTATTTTATTTGAATTTTAATAAAAAACGGAAATAGAATACCAGCTTTTCCTGAAAGGTGACAAATATTCTAGCCAACATTACGAAAGAAATGAATATTTTTATACGATGGGCAATTTTGTAATTTTTAAGAAGTTTTTTATATTCTAATGTTACAACATAATTCTTTAGTTAGATGGCAAATCCAGATATGTTAAAAAACGTAAAAATAAGTAAGCAATACATATTATAATATTTATGTGTTTCTGTACATTTTTAAATACTGAAAATATGTCATCCATATAGTTTTGAACATGCACAGTGTAGAGAAAGTATTTATATAGGTATATTGTTTTGCATAGAAAAAGATTGAAATACAACAGATGTATATATGTTAAAATTACCAAAAATGAACACAATAGAATTATTTTTTTTTTAAATTAATTTGACATTCTTTTTCACCCTGCGTAAAATTCTGTATGCGTCACAAAACTCATGTATGCGTTCTACAGTGTGTTTACGATTTTGATACATTAAAAAGATAGGGCTTCTATCTTCAATGGCCTTTGACATACATTTCTCCTATTCAAATCTAAAGTTTTCTTCTTCCGTTTTTTGTGAAATTTATAAAAATTCAGTGTTGTCAGATTACTAAACTAGATTACCTAATCCGTAGCCGGTGCATAGAAAATAACCTCTAGTCATTTAAACGAGATTTGCAAATCTGGATTAAATTTTAAAACGGTGCATATGGGCGTAAGGGTCGATTCCACCGTTGTGTTAAACGGAGATTAAAATGACATTGTTAATGTAAAAATGTCATTTTAAACTTCGTTTAAATCAACGGTGGAATCGGTCCTAACTCCCGTAACTTTAGTATTTTTTTGCTTATACTAGATCATATTGAGCGTTTTAATTTGTTTTAAGTCTTCAGATCCAAATTTCACATCCGATTTGACCGCAAATAAGATGAACTTCGATATTTTTAGTAGGTCATCCCGTATTTTATCTAATATTCTCATAAAAATAGCTCATAATGATAAAATTTCGCTAGACTTCTTATTTATATACCAAAAAGGACTAAAAACTACCTTCAGGAAAAATTCTTTTAAAACTACTTTTAAAAATTTCGTTAGCAACAATGTAATTTTTCTTCTTATTTACATTAAATGTTCAGAATTTTGCCCTTTAGAATTTTTTTGTAAGTACTATGAAATCTGTTTTCTGAAATATTTGGTGCTTAATGTTTATTGAAACCCCTTAATGCGGATCTGAAGTATTTAACTCAAAGGATCATGGCGCCTTTATGTCAAAACGTTAATAAATATTTACCGTTGAAAACGAATATATTTCTTATTTTTCGTAACATTGGCACTTATATTATTTGTATATACAAGTTTTTACGATACATCATGGTATTTTCAACTTCAAATTGAATAACTAAAAAACACTATAAATTGCTAATAACACCAACAAATAATTCAAAAAACGGCGGTCCATGATGATTCACTCTAGCGGAGAAAAGCGTAGAATAGAAATGTCGGAACAATTCGGGTGGCGTCGTGGAAATGATTTTTAATTGGTGGGTTAGTAAAGGTGGGAATAGACAACATGCGCTATGTGCAATGTTACATATCCTGTCTCTTTCATCTAAGGTAATAACGAATTCAAATTTGGGTTTACATTTAATAATAATAATGTTTATTCAAATAATGATATATCAATATAAGTACAATTAATAAAAAGAGAATAAACAATTTGTATGGATTAAAAATAAAAATGGTTAGTTTTGGATTTGATTTTTTCTCCAAACACATGAATATTGCAAATAATGTTATACAGAAAGAACGCCATTTGAAAATGTTGCTTATGGTAGGGGAGAGAGAGCCAATGACAAACTTTTTTGGTACATATTTGGACAAGGCAAATTCACACATTTTTCGTTCATTCTTGTCTTGTAGAAATACTTTGCTACAGACGCATCAGCAGTGGAGCGCTCGATGACGGTGTCTTATAAAAGCAATCGTAGAAAATGCTAATCTCATATTTGATTAGATAATTAATTTGACATAAGCCTTCATGGCTCGAATTATTAAGCGCTCAATTTTGGATTTCGCGACAAAATTCAATTCCCGATAAAATTAATCTTTTTTACTAAAAAAAAAATATGAAAACTAATAAATACTAACAACGTAGATAACATCAAAGTATCTTTTAAATCAATTAATAAACTAGACTCCCATCTAGTCAATACAAAAGACAAAACGAATTTGTTAGGTAAGAGTGGAGTATACAGGTTGCAATGCAGCGATTGCGATGCCAGTTATATCGGCAGAACGTGTAGATCTCTGGGAGTCCGGATAGGCGAGCACATCAAGAAGCCGGACACATCTGGATTCGGACATCACTTGAGGTTCAATCAACATAATTTTAGCCCAACAAAAAACTCCAAATTATTAGTTAAATTAAACACAAAAAATTTCAATTTATTAGATTTTCATGAAGATGTTGAAATTACTCTTGAAAGAGACAACAATGTCCTCTGTCTCAACACTCAAGTGAACCTTAACAGAAATTTCATACCACTCCATAGACAACTCAATTAACCCTCTATGATGATGTAGGTCCAAGTCGCCCAATACAAGCCTTCGAGAGCCATCCCCTCCTAAACTCGATTTCACCCATCAGAGCCTACCTTTGGGACCATGGTACTCTTTTGTTTAAAACCTTTTTTGTTCTCTATTTTGTCTCTTTCAACCATGAGTACGCTTGATGAGTGATTTAGTAATTTTTAGGACTAAACATCAGATTCATCTTTAGGGACCGCGGGTTCAGTTGTGCCATCTTGGGTTCTCTAAAAGAATGTTCTGCAGAGCCCGGGCTGGCACATCAGAATCACGCGAGTGACATTTTTGTTTTGTCTTGACATCAAAATAATAATATCATTTCATATTAAACATTTATTTAAATTTAACTAACAATAAATCAATCTTTAAATTCAATACTAACAAATTTTGATCTCCGTTAACCACCTCCAATCACACTTGGAGAAACATGTTCCACACTGATGTGAACGCACCTCCTCTCTTGACATTTGACAAGTCAACGTCTTCAAGTGTCGCTTGTCACCACTGTCATGTGGAAACGGTTAAACAACTTGAATAAAAATGAATAGATAAATTTAAATTTGAAAATATTAATAATACTAAGATTATGATTTAGCAAGTTGTAAATATTCCGAAATATCTAATTTTGGGAGTGAGGATGAACAGGAACTTGTTGGATACGTTGTGGACAGTAGGTAGACTTTTTTTATAATTATAATGTATCTAAAATAAAAAAAAACTCTAGTTTTTTTACTTTGGCCTTCTGCGTTTAACTTTCTTCATATTAACTATTGTATTATAGATTCAAATTTCAATATATCTTCCACAGTCACCCTATTTGTAAATTTCTTTAAATTTTAACTAATTTGCTAACTTGTTTTCAATTGTGCGAATAGTGAAGGTGGTATAATTCCTTAATTCCACACAAGCTAACTTGCTTCTGGAGATCAGATATGATTTGTAAGGGCTTATCCCACACTCACTATTCCCAATACCAGTTTTTTGTCACTTTGTTTGTATCTTTTAATTGTTAATTCGTTCAAACAATCGTATATATACAATTTTAACTTTTGACTTAAAAATCTTATTCAGATTTTATAATATTTCTTAAATTGTAAGTTTACATCCACAATTTTTGTAGATAAGCACTGATGATGGCAAATAAGCCGAAAGTGCTTTGCATTTATTAATTAAACAGTTTTGCACGAAATACAAGTCTTTCCTTTTGAATCTAAACTACGTGCACACAGCTGTCAACCTTTTTTGGTTATTTTAATAAATACATTTTATTTATCATAATATAACCCATACAGTTAGGCAATCTGTTATTCTTTCTGATATTTATTTTGTACTAGTTTGATAAGGGTTCAGAAAAAATTGTACATGTAAGAATCATCTTTATTAATATAATAAGTTCTTGTTCACAGTTGTCTATCGAGTGCGAAATATCACTTTAACACATGTGATGTACAATATTTTTCCTACTACTACAAAATTATTTCATCACGAAAATATGTAAAACTAGAAAATTTTAATCAATCAATATGTGGCTGGTTCTAAATTTGTTTTTTTTATATATTGGGGCACAATCTTTTAGATCGTAGTGTATTAATACCCCATATCTAATGTAACATAATATAAAGGGACACCGCAAATGGAAGAAAAAATTCGGCTTCTGTTCTAAGATGTTCCAAAAAAATTACTATATTGTCTCAATACAATTTTTAAAAGGAGTCACTACAGGGATTATGTCGTTGAATCGATCATTAGATCTCTCAAACACAGAGGAATCGAGGACACGTGCGTGTCCTGGATCGGCTCTATGTTAAGGGAGAGAACTATACACACAACCCTTATGGGAGAGACAATAGCGGCACGGGTAGCGAGAGGATGTCCGCAGGGTGGAGTGCTGTTTCCATTGCTGTGGAACCTTGTAGTGGACGGGCTGCTTAGGGCTCTCAAAGATAAGGGACATAGAATACTGGGATATGCCGATGATCTATTGATCATGGCACAGGGAAAATACAACGCTATAGTAAGAGATCGAATGCAAGAGGCTCTAAATATAGTAACAAAATGGACAGAGGCGGAAGGACTAAACATTAGCCCAAACAAATCTGACATAATTCCATTCACCCGCAGGAGGTAATTAGAGGGACGAGGGCTTCTAAACCTAAGAGGTACAAGCATACAGCTTAAGGGGGAGGTAAAATATCTCGGGATTATGATTGACTCGAGACTTACCTGGAACCAGCATCTATAAAAAACCACAAGGAGAGCGGAAATCTCGTTAATGATGGCAAGGCGCTCCATTGGAAAAAATGGGGTTAAAACCAGACATGGTATATTGGCTTCATAACATGGTGGTGAGACCGATATTAACATACGCAGCTTTGGTGTGGTGGCCAAAGACACAGCAAAGGGAAGCAATAACGATGCTAAGCAAGGTACAAAGACTTGCCTGCCTCGGAACAACGGGGGCAATGAAAACAACCCCCACAGCTGCAATGGAAGCTGTGGGGACTCCCACCTCTTCACTATGTGATACAAAGGGAGGCAAGATTAGGTGCTTACAGATTAGGGAATAAACTGGGAAATCATGACATTAGGCCAGGTCACATGAGTATCTCAAGGTTAGTGACAGGAGACCAAGAGGTACTTTTTTAATACTCCATTTGAGGTTTCAATAGAGGAAAGAGTGGAGATCACCATAAGGGAGCCCAATGCGCAACGACAGGAACAAACCTGGTATACAGACGGGTTTAAGACTGCGGAAGACACTGGGGCGGGAGTATTCTCCAAAAACCCTGATACTAACCATAGCTATGCTATAGGAATACATTCCTCGGTATTTCAGGCCAAGGTATACGCAATATTGCAATGTGCAAAAACGAACAATGAAAGAGCTGTCGAAAATCAGCATATTCTTCAAATAATGTCAGATAGCCAAGCGGCACTTAAGGCCATATCGAGTCAGAAAGCTACGTCGAGGCTGGTATGGGAATGCATCGAAGAACTAAGAACACTGGCAGACCGAAATGGAGTAAAACAGGTCACCAAGGGATCGAAGGCAACGAAAAGGCTGACGAACTTGCAAAAAGAGGGTCAGAAGAAACACCGGAACCAGACACAAACCCAGGAGTACCAAAAAGTACAGTCCGGGGTTTCATAAACGACAGGCACATGAAAAAGCCTTCATAGGCAGAGCATGTCCCAAAAGAACTGGAGAACTACTCTTTATGAATAGGAACCAGTTGAAAGTGATAACAGGGTTCATGACTGGGAACGCCCCAGTAAAGGGACTCTTGAACAAAATTGGCATGTACAATGGGGAGCTCATGTGCCGACTGTCTCAAGAAACCAGAAACGGCCAAATACATACTGTGCGAATGCGAAATTCTAGATCGCAAAAGACAGGATCTTTTTGGACAACCCCAGGTTGATCCAACAACGTATAGAACCCACTCACCCAAGGATCTGTACAAACTTGTACAAGGTACAAAGGTGACAGAGTGGGTGTTATGAACTAACATGGGGTAAAACACAATAAGCCAATAGGCTTCGGTGTTATTCGAAGACATAGTCAGACGAGCCCAGGAGAAAAAAAAGGGATTATGTCATTACAATGCTTTTTACGAATATATTATTAAAAATATTATGTACTGTCTGTAAAAGTGAAATTTCACTTTATGGTGAACTGTCAAAGTGACAGTAATTCTGTTCCTGCAAATTTTGGATGTTTTATTTTACTACGGAATATAAGTGGTTGGAGATAAATCGGACAAGGTGATAAAGCATTATCGCTAAACATACATAAAAAATGAATAATTTGAGGATTTTCTCATGGACCCAATTATTAGATTTTGACCAAATTAATACGGGACCACCCCTGGAGCACCCCCTTTCTAACAAAAAAAGAATTATTAAAATCGGACACCGTGTTAAAGAATTATCGCTGAACATACATAAAAAAAAAATATTGCGACGAATTGAGAACCTCCTCCTTTTTTGAAGTCGGTTAAAAATACAAGTATTAGAAATTAAAAATGAAAAAAAAACCGACTTCAAAAACATGCAGGTGCCATCACCACATCTTAACTAAATTTATTTTGGACCACCCCTGAGGTACCCCCTTACTAACAAAAAAAGAATCATATAAATCGGACAAGGTGATAAAGCATTATCGCTAAACATACATAAAAAATGAAGAGTTTGAGGATTTTCTCATGGACCCAATGATCAGATTTTGACCAAATTTATATGGGACCACCCCTGAAGTAGCTCCTTTCTAACAAAAAATAATTATTGAAATCGGACACCATGTTAAAGAATTATCGCTGAACATACATAAAAAAAAAATATCGCGACGAATTGATAACCTCCTCCTTTTTTGAAGTCGGTTAAAAAATATTGTTTCATTCGTACAAATAACTACTTTCTAATAGAAATATATTACTATCATACCCAACTTCACCGAGGTACATTGCAGTTTTTCCAATTGCCTTGAAACATGACTGACAATCGTAAAACAGACTTTCCTCTCCCGCTGCTAATACTAGTAAATTTCCTTCTGCTGCTTCACTTCTGCTACCCTGGATTTGAGCCTCTAAATATTTGCCACCTTGTTTCTCTATGATGGCTTTTATATCTTTGGATGTCTCTGGACCGGTTGTTGTCATCTGAACTATTCCTATATCACAAAAATGGTTCTTTTTATTCAAAATATAGAAATAGTATTTTTTATTCTATAATATAGCAATAGTAAGTTAGAAATTTTAGATAAACGTAAATAAATTCATTCTTAGTAATTTTACACATATACCATTTTTGGCGTTGTTAGAATTTATATTAATTTAGTGAACGTAGTTGCTAATATTTTCAAAATATGTGATATTCAACAAGTACTGGCTATTTATTCCATCTGATGTAACAATTTACAAGCTTTAGAAGCGAACCCTTGTTAATGACATAATTTGTATTTTCAGTATTTTCATTGAATATAAAGCGTTTCAAAAGGGCTGTTACGCTAATTGTGTGCAGAATAGTTGTATTATATTAGTTAATAACTGTTTTAACAATTTGAAGACCTTAACTTCAAAAAGGTCTAAGTACCAAAATAATGGAAAACAGTTGAGTAAAATAAAAATTGTAGACACAATACAAGCCCATATTTCTTTGCAATGGCACTTAGAACCATTTGGGTATCGTTAGGGTTGATATATTGAATCTTTTTATGTAAAAATATATTTTTTAAATTTTCGCACACATTCTTTTTTTAATGATTTTCTCGTCTAGTTGTTACAGGCTTCTGTTATTTTTTTTTTTTTTCAATATTTTTACGATAATTATCAAATTGAGAAATTTTGGAGTAATCCATACATTTGCAGTACTAACTTTAAATTAAGTTTTCCTTCAAATGATGCATTTTAGCGACATGTAACAAGTATACCTTTTTTAAAGCAAATTGAACGCTTTTTCAAAATAATTAATCATTTTTCAAAAATGTCCATTCTTAAAAAAAATCTGAAGTAAACACTAGATTGGCACGCCAGTTTAGAACGCCCTGCCCTGTACATGTAATGCAACAAAAAAGCTAGTATTCCTTTGTATCACCCAAAAAAACTTACTTTTACAAAATTTGAGTATATTTACTCAAAAAATATTTTCTCCACCCTGTAACTTCTTCTAAGCATGCAAAATTCTAAGGTAAATTGGCTTAAATAAACTTATTTTTGTCCAAACTAACCACATCTGAAGTTTGGCCCATTCTTTAATGAACATAACCTGTATAAAGTAAATGAACACTCTGTATAAAGTACCCCCCAGTTTCGACTGTATCCAAAACAGGGCCGACAAGAGGGGGGTAGCCAGTACTAATTCCCGGGGCCCGGGCTCAAGTGGGGGCCCGGCAGCGGCATAAGGGGGGCCCGGCAGCTCTGGTGTGAGGACGTTTGTACCATTGCACAAGAGGGAGGACTAAAGAAGACGAGAAGTTTTTGTTTGAAGACTTTTTTTTAGAAATGTGATATTGAGAGGGCCTAATTTTTTTATAAAATTATAAAATTGTCGCGGAGCCCGACCTGGAAAATTGTCGCGGGGCTCGACCTGGAATATTGTCCCGGGGCAAGACCTGGCCCTCGGCGGCCCTGATCCAAAATCTAATTAGCTTACCGCATTATGGATTAAAGATAAAGTTTGAAATTTGGTGTTTTTCTCTTTATTCGTTTTAGAGTTACCTTCAAAATTTGCACCTTTTCTCAAATATTTCGAATAAGGTCCATTTTAGAGAAATTATGTATAGAATAAGAATTATAGAAAATGACATTACAAGCAACTTTTATTTGAACAATTTTTAAAAAAATTCGAATTTTGCACTTTTTGACAAATTTTTCGAATACAGATCACTTTAGGAAAATTATGTATAAGACAAAAATTATAGAGTAATATTACAAGCAATTTTTATTTGAAGAATTTTCTTCTCAAAGCGCAAATAACAGATATATTACATAAAATACAAAAACAACCCTCTATAAAGAACCCCTCAGATGTTTCCACTATGTCCAAAATCTAATCTGCTCACCGTAGGATGGATTAAAGCTTAAATATATATTGATATTTTACATTGTATGTACCTACGTGGTGGTACAATGAGGAGAATTTCTGTGTGATTGGTCAGTGAGTAGGGGAACGTACTGTACCTTGCACAGTGTTGTACCTTGGTCAGAACAAACTTTTCAGTATTTCTGTTAGCTTGGTAATCAATTGGCAACGCTACTAAAAGATATTTCTACAAAGTCTATAATCTATAAGGTGTTCATAGTGATAGCGTGTCAAACAAAACCTTACATTTTTTTTTATCTATACGTTTAGTTTTATGAAAAAATTAATATTCCCACGAAGAGATCATTTAATTAGCTTGTACTTGTATGAACGTTAGGATGCTGTAAGCAAAAGTTTTAAAGGTGTTGCCACTTTTACTAAATTTAGTAAGGTAGTGTTGTACTTCGGGCACAATATACTAGTTGAGTTGTACGTAAGACATGTCCTAGGTATAACTTGATGATTTAATATTGGTAAAACATGTTTGAAAATCGGTTTTCAAACTTATATATTTATTCTTAATTTTTTTAATAATTACAGGCTCCAGAAAATATGCCACGCAGCAAACAAGGCATAAAACGAACTTCACTTAATATAGAATAGTTGCGACAGGCCGTTCGATTATTAAGAGAAAAGGAAGACTTTATTTGCGCCAGCTAAACATTTTAATATTAGCAGAAATACCTTGAGGCGTCATTTTCAACATTTTACTAACACAGGGAAGGAAATAAGTACCTTACACGATAATTTAATGCAACATAAAGTCTTCATAGATGAAGAAGAGCCAATGCTGTGATTATATTAAAACGGCTGCAGATTAATGATATGGATTAACCTTAAAAAACGTTCAGAATCTGGTCTATGAGTCTGGAAAGCATAATAATAAAAAAAGTATCCTAAAACATGGGATGAGTACAAAACAGCTCTTGTGCCGTTGAGACTGTTGAGAGAGAAGGATTTTCTGACTGCAGAATCGTCCCTTGGATAACGCGTCATACCAATCGCTTTGGTAGAAACTAATCACATGACTCGTGACGTGGATTGCGTAATGACCTCGGCTAGAGTTGGACTGAGAATCTTTTGTGCCGAAATACTCTAAATTTATTATGTTGAAAGTTTCAACATTTATTTTCATTTAGGAAAATAATTGTGTTCCTGGAAAAATTGTAATAAAATCTATGGAAAAATCGCTCGAAAATTGGAAATGGCCCGAGAGAGAAGATCGAAACTTATACCCACCATCTGATATTAAGGCAGAAAACTGATGTCAATATTTTTTAAATGGGTTTAAAGCAGGGATTCCCAAAGTGGTCAATACCGACCCCTTGGGGTCGAAATCGGTTTCCCAGGGGTCGACATAAACGAAAACTGATTTTAGGGATCGACGAGGTCTAAAAATCGACCCCTATTAATTGACACAATAAGTTCTTATTTGAAACTTTCAAAATACTGTATAAGTTCTGTTACGTGTACCAACAATGACTAATATTTTAGTAGGAAGTATCATTGTTGTACTTTTAAAAAACTCAACAAGTCGATAAGGGTGCACAAGTTCGTACAAGATGAAAAACACGGCAAGTCAAGAAGCGTGGACAAGTTCGTGCAAGATAATGAGTTCGAGTGTACAAGTCTTTCAGGCACGTTTTGACTTGCTCTGTATTTGACGCATATACGCGATTTAACACGAAGGAAATCATGATCAAGTTCAAGTCCAAATATGATCCCGATATTTTACTGTATAACAAGTTTTCACTTAGGTTAAAAGTTCATTTGCGTTTTAAAATTCGTTGGAGCTTGAATGATAATACACTCATCTACTAATTTGTTACAAGAGATTACAGAGTGGTTACATAGTTAAATAAAATGAATTAAAATAAAGTGATTGAAAAAAAAATTACAAAGTGCTTAGTTACCTACGTGTGTTAATAGCGTAACCATACATTTCTGCAGTTTATGAAAAAGTAACAGGGCAAGTACCAAAAAACGTTTTAATAATTTTTGAAATTACTTTAGAAAAGTTTTTGTGAAGTTTTTTTAATAAATTAATTTTCATAAATTTACCTATAACTGAAGAGATGTGGTGGTTAAAGCTAAAAGAGTGGTATCAAAAATAACTCCAAGATCTTTAATTTGTTTAACACTATCTAAAAAATGACCATCAAAGTTGAGCATCAATATGTTTTTGCTGAGCGTCTTAATTCAGGAAATGCTATGCATTAATTGATTTCATATGTTGGAACGAGTATAGAGACGGTGCCACATCATACGCTCTTAAATGTTCTTAAAACAGAATTGAGTGAGGTGCATCGTGCTCAAAATTTTTGAAAATTATCTGGCACACAGACAGCAGAAGGTAAAGAATTGAGACAAAGTGAGTAACTTTGAAACTGTGCAAATTGGAGTACCATAAGGGACTGTTCTGGAGCCTATATTATTTAATCTATACCTACATTAAGAGCTTAACTCAGATTGATATTCAAGGTGAAGTTGTATCGTATACAAATGACACAGTACTAGCTTTCAGTGCCAGAAACTGGGAAACCTTGAAGACACATGCCATATCTGGGATGGAATATGTTAAAAGTTGGCTGGATGTTTATAAACTGTCTTTGAATGTTAACAAAACAAACTACACTGCCTTTTCCAAGATAGTGGAAGATCGACCTCTATATAGAAGATTAACATGTCACAACTTAGACATACAGGTAACAGAAACTTCCAAATATTAAGGTATAATTATAGACCAGCATTTAAAATGGGATTGTCATATAACATAAATTACAAAAAACTTAGATTTTTTATTTGCAAATTCTTCTGAAACAATATCTCAACCTGCTAGATCTACTAATATTATACCACAGTTTAGTAGAATAAAGTCTACAGTATGGAATCTTAGTGACGTTTTACTATGACTATTTGAGTTCTATTAAGAAGATATATTTTAATCCATTGCAACAATATGCCACCTAAACCAAATTTACTTAGTTTATGAATTAACAATTTATGATTCACTCTATCAAAAGTCTTGGAAAAGTCGGTATATATGGCATCTATCTGACACCCCATCTTCAGAGCTTCTGAAATAGTGTTAGCATAGGCAATCAAGTTCAAAATTCTGTTGACTTGCATGCGCGAAAGGCAAATTGTTATAATACTAGCGCAGTCATAAGTAAAGTAGCTTTGGGACTATGCTAATTTAAGATATGGGACAATAATTATCATATATTGTGTCCAAGGTATCACTTCCTTGTGGTCAAGGTACAACAACAGACATAATGGACACTATTTTTTGAAGTGTACTAATTTTTCTAAATACTAGTGTTCTAAAAACCAATAAGAAATATATAATAATACTCTCCCTAATTCGCTCCCTTACAAATGAATTTTAACCTCAAAAGCTGAGCTTGTCCGGGGAAGGGACGGTTGTTATTATTATTTGCCGTGAAGCTCCGGGGCGACTTAAATATGATTGATAGTGCTATTTGAATTACTGGTGAGGAAAACCCCAGCCTCTATCATAGAAACGGTATCGTATGGGAATTTTTATAATCTGGATGTCATATTAACAGAAACTAAATATCTACTAATACGGCATCCATCAAATACTATAGAGAACTATGCAAATTAAAAATTCACATGGTCCTCTGTAGGATTCGAAACCAGGTGTCTCTCAACCACAAAACTGCTCGCAAATGAATGCCTACGCCACCGATCCGATTGTTCTGTAATAGTTCAACATTACACTACAGAAATTAGGTTGTAACAACTGCAAATCATTAATTTAGTAAAAAAAGTGTCCCAAGTACAACAACTTCCCCTACCAGTTAAAATAAATAGAAGAAACAGCAAAAGCAGAAAATTTTGAGAGAATATGCAGAGTAAAGCAAAGTGGATGAATGATAAATTATAATGACCAATTATGAAAAACAGGTAAAAATATAATAAGTGGCAACTGAAGTACTACCTGTTCAAAATAACTGTTTAGTGAGTCAAAAACAGCTTTCCTCTTCAACTGACTCAGGTTCTTCATTCTTCTTTTTTTTTTTAAATTGTTTCTCTTTATTTAAATTATTAAATATTTTTAGCAAAAGTCAAGAATCTAGTGAAACTGTTATTGTTAAAAAAACTGAATTGAAAAATTAAATTTAACATTTTTGTTGCATGCAATCACTAGTGTCGTCAATTCTTCTAAATAACCAGATGTAGTGTAGCGTTCTTCATTTTCTTCTATTTATAAACAACATTAATTTACCAAAACAGTGATAAAAGACAGAATAGCATTTTATCAAAGGTAGCTGCATTTAATAATAATAAAAAATATGGAAGGAAATTGTTTTTATACTTCTAATATAAGCTGATTTTAATGACATAAGTATGCTAGAGAATAACTTAAGTTTTTACTGAAAGAAAAAATAAAATTTAAAACCATAATATGTATTTTGAACTCACCTTTATTTTTTAAAATGGTATCCTTAGGATTATTTATACCGAAATTATAACGAAAAATTCTGTTGGCCACGTCTTGACTGGAAACACAGACAAAAACTATATCTGAGCTCTGTAGCAGAGAGCGAGGACTGAAGAAACTTTTCACTGATTTCTTAAATTTTCCACCAATGTTATCTATTAGTGTATCACATTTACTCATTGTGCGGTTCCATATGTTGACTATGTGACCAGAAAGTATCAAATTTTTTACCACTCCACTGCCTATTATGCCTGTTTAAAATAAAATTATAATTTAATATTATTGAATATTAAATCAATATCACATTCATTGAACTCTTTCATGATCCTCTTAGAGAAGTGGTTAAGTTCGTTCAGTTTTTTGATATCAGAAAATCATAGAGTTTGATTTGTTCATATTTTCATTAAAAACAACTGATTTAAGAGACAGTAGAAGGGACAATAGCTATTTGTGTATTAAGAGCGAAAAGTTATACTTTTCCGCTTGAGACAGAAAAGCGGAGCGCGGCAATTTATCGAAAGGCGGCAACGAACTTTTTGCTCAAAATACACATAAGATTTTTTCTACGATAACACTTTTTTAAGAAATAGATATAAAAAGTGAAAATTTGTCGTAAGTAGTGTATAATGTGTTGCCTATACCTACGTTAATCATGAAAAAGCAGTTGATATTCAAAGTCCATGTTAACTTGGATAATATAACAAAAAAACTGTAACTATACGTACAAATAACTTGAAAATCATTTATTTAAAAGAAATATTATTGTATTATAGCTAATTTAAATTAGGCGAGCAACAAAGCTTTCACTTAAGCTTAATTTATAACCGCCGTAACGTAACTTAAGAACTTAACATAAGAAGTTGAAATATTGAATTTTCGTATGCTCATTTATAATGTTCGTAACGTAACTTAAGAACTTAACGTACCGTAGAAAGTTCGCCAACTTTTAACTTAACAACTTAAGACGTTACGGTTAGCCAATGAGATAATTCTGAGTTCAGCATGTGATAACTGTCAATTATTCTCTTTTTTTTTATAAATGAATGGACAAATACCATTTGTAAACTATCATTCTCCTTTTTATGGACATACATTATCATTAATGATTTGGGTTTATGTTATTCGGGATAAACTATTTATGAGATATGAGTATTGCTAATGCATATACCTATAAACATCAAGTCTAGAACTGAAATAAGACACAGAACTAGTTTGCTAGGAAAGATTAAATTCTCATTATTGCTCAAAAACAATCAACATCTTCGGTAAACTATTGTGTTTAATTATATTATTGCTTTTAAAGTAATTAATATTTTCTTTCTATATAGCAAAATCAAAATTTATGTTTTATTTAGAGGTTAGGTACATAGTTTACACTTGTTTATTTCATAAAGTTGTCAGTAATTTGACAATCTCTGAAATACAACACGCATGCTCAACTCTTACGTTACGGACATTTATAAATAGACTTTATTTTTATATCTTAGGTTAAGTTTCTACGGCGTTAAGTTAAGTTACGTTACGGTGGTTATAAATTATACTTTAAAGCCTACTTTGGATAGTGATCGTAGAAAAAAATATTTTTTTGATCAAATTAGTCTGCCCTAATTTTATCAGATATTTTCCTAAATTTAGATTTTTAAAACAAATGAATAGAAAGAACTCTTAAACGACAACGCATTATATTATAATGCAATAATATTTTTAATGTAGAATTCTCCTCAATTGTTTTTTATTCAGAAATAGATGTTTACGTATATAGATTTAATTCATAATTTTTTTTAATTCATTCCCGATTTCGACAAAACATTTATTAAAGTCGTGGTTTTTAAAGTTTGAAGTGTTACGTTCATTATTTGACATTTGGCAACGTTGCCTAGTAATTGATGACAGACGTGAAGGTTCCAATGTCATTATCTAAAACTGCATAATTTTTAGACATAGCTATTGGTTTACAGATTTGTCTTATAGTGATTGTAACTGATTATTGGATTATAATCATTAAATAGTATTAATGCGAAAAGGGTTTAATTTTAAGACCTAATGAAGGAACATGCTCATCTATACATATAGCAGACAAGCATTACACACACAGAAAAGACCACGAATTTACTCAGGGTTCAATGTCACGAAGCTTTGGCCGAAGTATCCATCAACAATGTGGTCACGTTAAGATGGATCAAAGGTCATGCCACATCGAAAGGGAACCGTCTTGCTGATTCACTACCCAAGGAGGCGGCCAACCAAATACCTTTTGGACCTGGCTCTTCTATTGGCCTGACAAAATCGGTAGAGACAGACCTAATTAAAGAACATTCCCTTGTGAAATTCAAGGAAAGATGTGATGAAACAAGAAACTGCAGAGTTGCCAGGGAGCTCTTAAGTCATTCTGACAGCACTGCAGCAAACAAATACTTGACTATGACTAGACAGAATCTGCGCCTAGTCACAGGCATTCTGACTGGTCTTTGCCAAGTATGGAAGCATCTCCATATCATGGGGCTGTCAGAATCCGCGCTCTGCAGAGGGTGCGAACAAGAAGCTGAGACCATCGTGCATATCCTTTACGATTGCTCGACGCTCTCATTTATTAGAAGATTTGTGTTCGGTGAGTATCGGCTAACACCGGCCGATACAGTAGAATCACCTCTTGGCGACGTTGTCAAATACATTAAGTAGGCTGGCTCACGAGCTAGGAGGTGCCTATCATCTTAGGAGGATGCACAATGGGCCTACTGAAGCCTAAGTGCTGTATGGGGTAACCCACCCTCCACACATTACAGAAGATCTAATGGGGTTAGGTACTTTGTTTTGATTTGTTATAGTATAGCAGGGGCAGAAGTTGGAAAGGCTTTTGGTAGGTAGAGAGGGGGTAAACGTCAAACCACGTCGGACGACTTCGAGAATTTCGCAGTAATAGTAATGTTTACCTGCCAGTGTCGTTTCATAGAATAAGTCATTTTAAATTGTTAACGGCGGAACCGCATATATTTATGGACTAGGATAATTATTAAACAAGTATTATAATATCCAAATCATAATTCTACAAAATTTCAACAGCTATTCACAATTTATTGAAATATTTATCTGAATTTGTTATTAACATCTATAAAATAATTTTGTACGCCAATGTATCGCGTCCACTTCCGTTAGCTCCGCTGAAAACCTTTCAATTTATGTGTATGAAGTGGGAGAACTCCGAAAAGCCTTTCTAACTTCTGCCCCTGCCAGTTTTGCCAACCTAGCGGTTTTGTTTTCAATTTAGTGGGTAAAAACTTTATTTAGCAGTTTTAATTTTTGAAAAAATTTAAATAAAATTGATAGAAAAATAAGTCACGTGCACGCACAATATACAATATATTTGTGACTTGTTCTCGAGTTCTTGTCTTTTTTAGTGGATCACTGCTACAAAAGCTAGAAATTTTAATGATTTTATTATTCCTTTGTTGCCCTTTTGAGCGTGATTTTTGTCAACTGTATAGGAGAGTTGGTAAGTTTGGTAAGATCCCTGTACACTGATGCTGTATTAAGTATAATTTCACTTTTAGCTGAGTGTTCAGTGCTTTAAGCGGATTCTAGCGGTTTTAATATATCAATCCAGTGGGAATGCGAAGCAGAGTGTTAGCAACACTGGCCCCTGCTATAAAGTATATTGAAGACTGTTACTGATCTTAGTTCAGCCCACATTTGTCTGGACCATCAGATATTATTATAAAAATTGGAAAGGTATGGAGTAGGTGGAACTTGTTTGAAACTTTTGAGTCATATTTATCAAACAGTTATTATTGAAAATTGCAAAAGTTCACTGATGCATATTTAGAGAGGGATTTATCAGGGATCGATTTTAGAACCACTACTCTTGTTGGTATATCAATGATCTTTCTAATAACATGTCTTTTGGAAACTTAGCTACATATATGTTTGGTCACGACACTACATTTTGTATTAACATTAAAAGAGATAGTTTTTGTGAACATATTTACTCAGATGTTATGACCCAAGTTAAGAAGTGGTTTCCTGCAAATGATTTAGTTTTAAACACCACTAAAACTGTATCTCAACTACCTGTAGGTAATAATGGATAGACTGAAGGTGATAGTTTTGTTTAAATACTAGGCATACAAGTTGATCCACAACTTAGATGGACAGACCACATCAAAACACTATGCTCTAAACTGTCACAGTTCGTTTTTGCTATCAGAAAAATACAACAGATATGTGGCCAGGATGCAATACTCAATGCTTCTTTTTTTTTGGGGTGTCATCGGCTTCAACTGCTAAGGTTATTTCGCCTCATGTTCTGTGTAGGCTTTGTTACTGTTTCCCAGCGCCACTTTAGGAACATCACTGTTAATTAGAACCCAACAGTGAATGGTCGAGTGGGGAATCCTACCAAGGCATCAGAATTAATTTTAAATAATTAAATTAAATGAAAAAATTCCGGCCAACGGCGGGATTCGAACCTGGGACCATTGGATCCACAGGTAGAGACTCTACCACTGAGCCACCTACCCCGTTCTCAATGCTTATTATGCTTTTTTTCAAAGTCGCTTAACATATGGAACAATATGCAATGCAGCCGACACGCATATTAAAATCAGCCATAAAAGCCATAACACTTGCTTCTTGGCAAGCCAGCTGCAGACCTCTCTTCTCAGGACTTAAAATAATGACTCTGTATGCAATAATAATTTGTCAGAACCTGCTATTCATAAGAAACAACACAAACAATTTTTCTTCACACTCTCAAGTACACAACTACAATACAAGACACTGAGAAAATGTAATATCTATAAAATACAGACTTAAAAGAATAAAGAAATGTGATATTGAGCTGTCACTACTTATTCGGAATTTGCCAATAAATAAATTTAATACAAATTTAAAAATCTTTTTATCCTAAAATTGCTTATATACTATAGAGGAATACCAGACCTGCATATGGAGGATGGAGATTTTTACCTTTGATTCTTGAATGATTTGGAATTAATTGATTATGATTTAATTGTTCAATAAGTTTTCTTTAGTTTTAATCTATTTTGTAATTTTTTAATATGTATTTGGTTTGTTTTTGTATTGTTTTCTAATGCAAATAAAGATTATTATTATTATTAATTATTATTATTAAATAATAAATGCTAACTTCTTGATTGATTTTTCTTTTTATTACAATATCACTATGTTTAAAAAGCATATTCAGAAGTAATCCAGGTAGTTCTTGTAGTTTAGGGTCATAATCCAATCTAATAATTATAGACATTCAGTATATTTTATTTTCTGCTGTTGCTTTTTTGAGATAAAATATATGTTGGATAAGTGTATTGTACCAAATTGTTTAAATTCAATACACCAAATTGTTTAAATTCAACCGCTACTTCTCCAAATAAAACATTTATATTTATACTTTTTTTATGAGGTAACATATTATAATATAATAATTATAAATATGGTCATGATACATTCATTTACTTATATAATTTATAAATTTATTATATTAGTAAACTGCTGTAAAAACCGGTAAAAACACTATAAAAAATCTCGATAAAAATATACACACAAAAGATGATTAGGTTAGAACAAAACAACTGACAACTGATACAAATACAGCATACACCCTTTCTCTTAAATGAGAGAAAAGGGTGGAAGAAATGTTTGAGTGCAGAACTTGATTGGAATGGATGAATCTCTAAGAAACAACCTTACACCATTGCAAAATGTCCAAAGAGAAACGTAGGTAGCACTTTAAACTTTAAATTCTTGACTTTCTTTTCTAATTTTAACTACTTAGAAAAAAAATTTAAGAGACAAATATTTGGCAGGGTGTTTCTTTTGTCATATATTTTGGATATTTTTTATTATTTAAGTATTTTCTTTTCAGAAGAGAACTCACCATTGTCATTGTTATACCTTTAATATCTGAAAAAATTGTTGAAATAATTGTTAAAAAAATAATTTTACAGTCCAGACAAAAACTGATTTACTTCATGGATTGAAAATATTTGGTGTCAATATGAGGCAGAAGTTCAGATCTTATATGATTTAATTAGGTGGACTACAAGGGGGTGACCCCAGATTCAGTAAAATTGGAATTATGCCCTTTCAAATTGAATAATTTTATGCAAAAACTACTTAAACTAGACCATTAATATTGGGAAGAGTTAAATATTTAAAAAAAATACTTTAAATTTTAGGAGGGTAGCCAAATTAAAATTATTTTAGCCTCTCTTAAAGTTAAATAATTGAATCCCCATTAGAATTATCTAGATGGTAGGGTTTAAACTTTATGGTTTTATATAAATAAAAGATACATAAAGAAGTATAGGGTGACCATATCTCTTTCAATCCAATGCTGGACACTGAACACAAATACTCAGATAAATACACAGAAAGTTGAAGTCGTGTAATGTAAAGGACCTTTTTTATCTCTCCAAAGATAAATACACAAATAGAGAAGTTATGTCTTATTTGATACGTTTCAGTAAATAATGTATTACATTGCTGGACAATCATGGCATTTTGCTAAACACTGCGATTTGCTGTACAAGATCAAATGCTGGACAGACTTTGAAAATGCTGTACATTACAGCAAAAGTATGGTCACCCTAAAGGAGTAGAATTTGAATATTATTCTTGGTGGTCTACTTTTTTGTATCTTTTTGGGCTTTTGATATCCATTGAATTGACTTACCAATTCCTAAAACTCCAAAAACCAACTTTGACGTTGAAATCTGTCTTGTATCTAAGACACCTTTAGAGTACTCCATATTTTCATTGAAATCACAATTGTTTATATCAACAGTCAATCCTTTTAACTTCACTTCGTTTTTAAACTTATGTGCTCTTCTCGTACTTCTTTTCCTTTTCCCTTTCAACTTAAATTCTTCGCTGACCACAACTTTGTAATCTGGATTTGACTTCATTCTTCCTAAATGTTCTTCTGCTTCTTCAACTGCTTCAGTGAAATAGGGAACATCACTAGGTTGAATGTTTTTTTCTCTGTTTTCCTCGAAATTGCTCAGTTGTGATTTTGGTATCCATGCAAAATTATTAGAGCCGAAAAAGAATACCCAGTAGTATTTTCTGTTTGGATCTTTTGATGGTTTTCGCATACCAGCAACAGTTTTTAAAATAACGCATGGCCAGGGTGGAGATCGTACCATTTTAGCCCAAGCGATATCGCCGATTTGAAATTCAGACATTTTAATTAGTAACTAGAGAATTAAAAGAAATACTTTAGTTATCTATCTTGTTTTTATGACTGTAAACAAATTTAGGCAGTAATTTTTGGTTATGTTATGACATTTTGCTATGACATTTCCCGTTGATATGAGACAAATGACATTTCGTTGACAGGTAGACAACACAAGGTTCTTTCGTTCGTCCCATTCTATGGTCCCATTTGTGCAGGACTGAACTACACCAACGGACACTGTAGATTTTTCGTTCGCTGTTAGTGCAGTGTCCACCAGTGTATATTACACCACCATATCTACCCTAGTTTTCTTCTTATTCCTTATACACATGTCGAGTGTAATTCGGTCCTGCTAAATAGCTGGCGGAAAAAATATCCACCAGTGGACACCACATTGCCGACAGGAAGGTATAGTAGGTTTTACACCGGGCCAAACGAAAGGTTTAGTGTCCGTTGGTGTAGTTTATTCACACACCAGTGGGACGAACGAAAGGACGCCAGATGGTGTAAAATCCACTACACTTTCTTGTCGGCGATGTGGTGTACACTGGTGGATATTTTATCCACCTGTTATTAGCAGGAGTAAAGTACACTCGACATATGTATAAGGAATAAGGAGGAAGTAAATTATGTTAATAAGGTGGTGTAATTGACTATTTTAAAACACCTTAAACAAAGGGCTCTCTTCCACAGTTTGTTTCCAATACCCAGATACCTAATATATAGCTGAATAAGTGAGCTGAAAAGTCTTACGAATGTCCGAGTACTTGATGATCAGTGGAAAGTTGAAAAGTTTTATGCGACTATTAATTTGATATTCAACTGTTCCACTAGACCTCGGACGGTTTGCAGTACCTTTTGAAGAAACCAGAACAATCCTAGCTGTTAGGTAATGCGCTGCGTAGCAGGCTTTTTGACTGTTTCGCTCTTGATCCATCTATATTATACCTTGTCAAATTATTGTAAAACAGAGAGTCGCGTTGCGATTTCCAAAAGTGTGTTAAAAATGCTAAATGTAGAAGCTATAACATTTTGGTTTATTTTAAAATATATTCAAAAAATTAACCGGTATAAGCATGGAACCAAAAGAACCATAGAAACGAACCAAAGAAATTTGACTTTTTCGATAACAGAAGATTTGAACAACCGAACAAATCTTCATAAATCAAATCCTAAATTCTTAAATATGTGTTCTGTGCTTATCATAACATAAAACATAACCTATTTAAAATAAACATATTTATCTCAAATCTTTTATTAAAAGATTTACATAATAATTAAAAGTTAAAATGTGGTTTATTTTCTAAAATGAAACAAACCGGCGGTTTTATCTTAATATGCTTGGTTATAACTTTTGGATATTTTATTGGTGTGTTAAGATTCTTGACTGATTATGGAGAGGATATGTGTGAAATGACTTATATGTTCGAGTATCCCCAATATGTGGTATGTTGAATATATATTTTTTAAAAATGTTCTGTTGAATTAGCCTATTTTTAGATATTATGATCATATCTATTTAAATCTATTAAATTCTAGGAGAAGGTAAAAATAGATTGATGTAATATTTCAAATTTAAGATCTGTTAAAAACTATAAATAGGCAATTTTATCTTTATTTCAAATTTTTAGAAAATTTCGAATAAGGCAGATAAACAATTTAAAAAATATGGATTGTATGCATACAGTGAGGGACGGATCACAGAAAAAACTCGAAACATGTATTTCGATGGGATACCTGTTCTGTTTATACCCGGAAATAAGGGCTCCCATAAACAAGGTATTATAACTATACATTATATTTTTATTTCTGTCTGGCATGTGGTTATTATGCAAAGGGATATAATTTGCAATGATTACTGACTGACAACAATTTACATAGTTGTGTTAGGAGAAATGGCACACCTCAGCTAAATTGAGATAGTATCATCATGTCAGAGAGAAAAATAAAATACAATTTACATTCTACCTTTATTTACAGTAATTTTCACTATCTATGCAAATGCAACGGAATTATTAATTATATTTACTTAATAACAATCAATAAAGGTCTTCAGTTTTATAAGAAAAACTTAATTTATCTGTTTAAATAGGTATTTAGGGGCCAGTTGGTATCAAAATACTATTATTTATATATTATTTTTGCTCAAAAGCAGGCCAATATAACAATTACAAATGGTTATAATGTTGCCAAATATAATCATTGTAAAATAATATGAGACTTCTGAGGTTTGATATTTTTAACCTCTGCAATAAAATGTTCTTACATAAAATGTTCTTACATAAAATGTATATAAAACGTACATGAAACTTACATCAAACTTACATAAAACTTACATAAAACTTACTTATATAAAACTTACATAAAACTTACTTACATAAAACTTACTTACATAAAACTTACATAAAACTTACATAAAACTTACATAAAACTTACATAAAACTTACATAAAACTTACATAAAACTTACATAAAACTTACATAAAACTTACATAAAACTTACATAAAACTTACATAAAACTTACATAAAACTTACATAAAACTTACATAAAACTTACATAAAACTTATATAACACTTTATAAAACTTACTTAAATAAAACTTATTATATGCAATTCTAAATACAATCTAGGGGTTTAGGAGTGTAAACAGTTTTACAGAAGGTAAACATACTAATACTATCTAATCACTGCATTTAATACAAATTTGTACTTCAATTGAATTGTTAACGTTTAGTTATTTTTACATTAAATGCTATTAAAAAAGTTACAAGGAAAATTAAAATTTGAAATTTAAAGCCTATTTTTAATTATATTTAATAGGACTCAACATTGAAATAGCATATACTGTAGGTAGGTATACATATTGATTTGGGGTTTAATTTATAAAAACTAACCACCTAGGTATTATAAATAAATTATATAGAATGAAGAATTGTTAAAAAATGTAGATAGTTATTTAGATTTTCAGTAATTTGAAGCTGACGTCATTCAAACAGAACACATTCTCATTCTTAATTGAAGTTTACCAAGCCCATACTTACAATAATGTAAAACGTTTGTTATAAAACAAACGTTTTTATAATAGGTTACCAGAGTATGTTAGGCTGTTTAATTCTTTTAGATTTGAAAATTTTATTTAAGAAAAGCTGTTTAAATTGTTTCTCTCCAATGAGTTAAGAAAAAAAATACTTATTTAATTGTGCGGTTCGATTGCAGTGTTTATGTTTCCTCCTAAACAAGTGCAAAGTTTAGTGGTTCCTACTCACAACTTAGATTTAAATTTAACATCATTTTGTAGCTAAAAAAATTTGCTCATGTAATTTGAGTGTTCTTGTGAAAAATTTTGTGTTTTAAACTAAGTTCTCTGCATTTGAATGCAATAACATGGAGTGAAGAATAAAAAAAAAATTGCTGATAAGTAACAATTCAAACAACTAATCCAGTGATGTACTGACTTTTGGTATGTTATTTTCTTCAACTATGGCCTAAAATTAGAATGGAGTGTAATTTGTGTAAGCAACCTAGCAAGGAATGCGAAAATCCATGCTATCCATGTGATTCCTGCAGGAATCTAATTTGTTTAGATTGTACAAATCTGTTAGCCTCAGAAATAAGGTGCCTTCCTATTGTAGGAAGACTATTAAAATTTTTGTGTATCAAATGTCGAAGTTATGATTTAGTTGATATTCTAAATAACCATATCAAAGATAAGGACCAATTAATAAAGGACAAAGAAGATATCATCGAACTATTGAAGGCTAAAATTAATGATTATGAAAAATCCCCTATTCAACAACCTTCTTCTTATACCCAAGTAACAAAGGGTTCTGTGCAAACATTAAATAAACTATCCACAAATTATAATTAAACCAAGAGTACCTCAAAATTATCAAAAAACCAAGGATGATGTTGAAAAAAATATTAAACCTGAATCATTGAAAGTTGGAGTTAAGAGTATAAAAACTCTTAATTCAGGTGCATTAATTATTAAATGTTGTAATAAACAAGGAATGAATAGAAGTATAAGAAAAAATTTTGACAACTTTTTAGTATTTTTAGAAACTTTTGGTTTAAAGGACTTGGATATAATAATATTAGGAGAAACACGTAATGTTATTGAACTTGATGATAAGCTCAATAACATTTAGTCATAATGGTGTGCCCTATACAGTAATGCCTTGTTATAAATCTCCATCCATATCAGATGATACATTTCTTACAGATTTTGAAAATTTCTTAAATATACCAAGAAGGCTAGGAATGGATATATTTATTGGTGACATTAATATTAATATCCTTGATCCCTCAAACCAAATAACAAATAGATATTTGGCCATGTTATCTTCCTTGGGATTTGTATCATATATTAATTCATACATCAGGGTTACTGTAGAAACGAAATCATGTATTGATCATATTTTTATAAAAAATAATATGTCAAATAAAAATTTTTCATTTAAATCGTTGGTAATTGACACTGATCTAACTGATCATTTTTCAATTTTTTTTTTAATATTACAACAAATGAAAGAAACTTTAACCATAATACATTAAACCAACATACAACACAATACACTGATATAGATAGATTTACAAAATTATTAGAAAATGTTTACTTGTACAATGTCATTTCTCTTAGCAATCCAATTTTGGCCTACCAGAAATTTATTGAAATAATATATTCCCTAAAACAAAAATGTAATATAACTAATAGGCATCTAATAAAAAAATAAAACCATGGATAAGTCGAGGCATCATCATCATGTCTATTAAACATAGGGATAAAATGAAAAAGCAAATATTAAAAACCAAAAACAACAATCTTCTAAGAGAATATAGGATATATCGTAACCAACAATTTACAAATCTTAAATGAGCAAAACCAAATTTGGTAGATTTTTACAAATTTTTTATTTGAAAAAGAAGTTGTACTTCAAAACATGCCATGTGTAGTGTTTTTAATTTTTATTTTTTTTAAATAACAATTTACAAATGACAAAGAAATGGTCAGCTACTGCAATAACTATTTTTCAAAAATTGGTATAGATATGGCAACTAAAATTAATTCTGTAGATGACTTCCTAATAAGATATCCACCTCTAATCAACTCAATGGCATTAAATCCTGTCAATAAAAATGAATTAATAGAACATATAAATTCGTTAAAAAATAACAGTGCTCCTGGTTTTGATGGAATTACATCTAGAATGTTGAAAAATGGTCACCGATACATAATAGAGCCTCTAATGCACATTATAAACCTAAGATACCGGAAGAACTTAAAATATCAATTGTAAATCCAGTTTTTAAAAACGGATCCAAAAAAGATGTGTCAAATTACAGACCAATAAGTCTGATTACAAATCTTGCAAAAATTTTTGAAAAATGTTTAAAAATAATATATGAATGTGATGCCATGTATGAATTGATATCTAATATAAAAAACAGTCTTGAGAATGAAAATAAAAATATAAGTGTTTTTATCGACCTCGCGAAAGCTTTTGACACTGTTCCTCACAAGCAACTACTAAATGTTCTTGAACATTATGGCATTCGAGGATTTGTTTTAAAAAATTTTGAAAACTACTTACACGAGAGAACACAGATAGTTAAAATTAGAAATTAATTTAGTAATCCTGTTAAAATTCAAGTAGGTGTGCCACAAGGAACTGTGCTTGGTCCAATTCTTTTTATCATCTACATCAACTCTCTTTTAAACTTAGATATAAATGGTATAGCAATATCCTATGCAGATGACACCGTATTAATGTTTGAAGATAAAACCTGGGAGGCTGTAAAATCAAAAGTGGTTAAAGGGGTAAGAATTATGAAAGACTGGTTGGATTATAATAAGCTATCTTTAAATATATCAAAAACAGTATATATGGCATTCTCACTCACAGATGCTAACAGGCCTAACTTCAAACAGATTTGTATTGAAGAATCCAAATTCATCATCAAAGAAGTGGAAAATGCCAAATATTTGGGAATAATAGTTGACAAAAATCTTAAATGGACTGATCATGTTCAGTACTTAACAAACAAAATAAGAAAACTTATATATAAATTTTATTTAATTCGTAACATTCTAAATAAAAAGTTAAAACTTATATATAAATTTTATTTAATTCGTAACATTCTAAATAAAAAGTTATTACACTTGATATATATTGCTCTCATTGAATCCTTAATTAGATATGGCATAATTGTATGGGGTGGTTTATATGACAATGCCCTACATCCCTTAAGTATTATTCAAAATTATATCTTAAAGATAATAAATCATAAAAGTCGTTTGTTTTCAACAACCCTTTTATACAACGAATCCACTTCAAACGTAAGATCACTAATCACTATACTTTCACTCTAGCTGTATGTTCTATTTCAAACTGAAAAATAAAAATTTTGTAAACCACTCTAATATGATCCGAAAACAAAAGAGAAGAATGCTAAATGTACTATTCTTTAAATTTGATGGAAATAAAAGATTCATTTCTTCAATTGGTCAAAAGGTATACTCTTTAAGTGAAAATATCAGAGAAATAAAAAACATGAAAACCTTTTCTAAAGCGATCAGAAAATTTATATTTATATATTTATGTCCTTTTAATCATCAAATGAATTTGGTTAACGTCTTTCCTATTTTTATTCATTATCTATGGACAGCTGTGAATATGTTTCGAAATCTGCGTCCAGCCAAGGTCCTTGGCTATGTTGCCCTTGGACCATTCTCTTGCTCGTTATCTGTCTAAGGGATCTTACGATCTGGACAGGGATTCTTATGTGTGAACTCAACACGTTACGTGTTGAATAGAGAGAGAGAGACATTACATAAGAATCGCATTCTGTCGAACGAAGATAGAGGCTTATCAACACTTGCTGTATTGAAAGATGAGAATCCCACTGCTGGACGGTATACTAGAGAAGCGGTGTTGCCCTTGCGTACCAACTTTCTTGGACATTATTATCCATACTTACCATTGAAGCAAGCTGTGCGGTATTGCCAGATCTACTCTACAAATTTTCCCAGATCTGGGGAAAAATTTAGGAATTTGTGCTTAAGTGGCTTATTATCTACTATTTTTCAGCTTCTTTTCTTAGTTCTGATTATTAGTTTTAATTTATGTGCAAGACAATGAATCTATAAATGTATTTTTTGGGTTCAATAAATTTGTTATAAAAAACCTGACTGGTAACAAAGTTTAAATTTTTCGTTATGTCTTCGGTCTTCTGTAATATCTGAACGCCAAAATTGTACCAAAGTATTTTGTAAATGATAATTTCCTATAGATTATTTAAAAAATATTAAACTCATTTTATTTATTGTTTTATATACTAAATAATTATTTACCTAATACCTACTGTTGGGAATATATTATTTTAAAACCTAAAATCACAAATGAAATACAATTTAAAAAATTTGGTCTTTAGTCTGTAAATAAAATTCAACTGTTAACTTTGCCTGGGGGATTTTTATGTCATCAATAATGCACCACATTGCCAACTTTGACACGTCATTATAATTTAATCTTATGGTAGAGATATTTGACTTTCGTGAACCGATGATGTATAATATTTTAACGCATTTTACTTTTTAGTTCGATCTCTATCATCAGTAGCACTAAGAAAGTGGTTAAATTCAAGACTACCATTTCATTTTGATTACTTCACAGTTGATTTAAATGACGAGTACTCAGGTTTATATGGTCCTCTTTTATATGATCAACAGCAATATGTAAACGCTTCTTTATTCAGAATTTTGGAGCTTTATCAAAACCAAAAGAATCCTCCTAGATCAGTTGTACTAATCGGACATTCAATGGGTGGAGCTATAGCTCTGAAATTGCTATCCGAGATGTCGGACCATACTTTAGTGCCTATTTTAATTACACTCGCTTCTCCTCTTAGAAGGGCCCCCATAATGATGGATTATCATGCGGAGAAATTTTTTTCTGAAATTCTAAACAAAAACTTAGATACTACTACTGTAATTAGTATTGGAGGAGGTTATAGAGATATTGTTATACCGCCTTTTTTAATTGGAAACAAGGAGAAAGATATATCTAATATTGTGGTAAGGAAGATAATGAATATACAATGTTAAATAATATTTGTGTAAATTTATAAAAGCTCCCTTTTATAGCACACTGTCCATTTGAAGATAGCTATTTACAAGAGGTGACTGGTACACAAAGAGGGCAGTGTGATCAATACTATGTCCCAACTGTCTTTTTAACTTTGACTTAGTTGATTCAAGTGCCCCCATTACCACTGAAAATAACTGTCTCATTCTGGCTGTGTATCCTGTAATTTTCAACATTTTCCAAGTTCTTACTTACATTTGACAATAAAAATAAAAAAAAATAAAACAAAAAATACTTAAAATTTTTCTTATTTGTGTTCTGTTTTCTTTCCATATTTGGAGAATGCAATTTTATTTCCATAGGAAGACATTCCAGAAAAGTTGTTTTTCGATACTGATGAATATTACCTTACTATATTAACAGCCTTGCGGGTAACCTGTGAAGCGGGCGGACATAATGGATTCATCAAGAAGTTTGTCACTGGGGTGGTAGAAACCCACCAAAAATTTTAACAAAACCTTGTGTGTTGAACTGTAAAGTGCACGGGAGATCTATAAAAGGGGCTTATTATAATAATTGTTTACGTAGTAATAAAAAGCATTCTTAATGTCGTAGATTTCTCTTACAATATGTTCTTTTACTTAAAGTATAATGTTAATTTAGGTACATTGTTTTTCAGACTTCAAATATTCCAATGTCTTGGACTGAAAGTAACCATGTCCAAGTTTTATGGTGTAAGCAAGTGGTAATGGCGTTAAACAGGGCATTATTTGATAGCGTTGATATCAATACCCGTCAAATTTCATCAAATTTCACTCATAGGAATATGGCATTTAAGCATAATCTCATCCATGTAAGTAAAAAATCTACTAAGGGAAAAGAAAACAAACCCATTTACTAAATTTAATTTCGGCCGTACACACTGGAATTCTTGTTTAATAAATTTTCAATTATTTTTAAACTTGGAAGGTAAAGATACTCCCATAGTGCGGTTGTTTTGATATAATCCGATTTGATACATATTATTGGCGTGTTGTTTAGAGCAAAAAATAACGTTGAAATTTAAAGAAAATAGCTTTTTTTTTTAATTTCTGGATTCTCAAATTAAAGAAGTATATAGGTAATGATTAGGGTTTATTTGAAGCTGCAAAGAAGTCATTTTTCATTACTATATTCCTAGTCAATTGCTGGATCTGTATTCTAATTTTGGTTTAACTTTATGATGCAGTAACTTTCTTCGATTGGGAGTCAGATTTGCTGGAAATAAACTATCAAACATTTGTTAAACTTGGTTTCAAATAAGGCCTATGTTAAATGTTACCTACCTAATTTTTTTGTTCATCTAAGACTGGAACCCAGTTTTCTAGTATAGAAATAGAAATATTTTATTCTCAGTAGTACATCTAAGAACTTGTCAGTGGAGGTTACATATGCCTTATCTTTCTAAGAGGGAGCTTAATAACCATTTAAACTTATTGTCAGTTGAGAAAACGTTAATTAGTAATGCTCTTTTATTTCTTTATAGCCTCCTGGAAGGGAATATAGCTTGTCCGGATATGTTGGAGCTAATAAACTTTAGATTAAACAACATAAATATTAGAGAGAAACCATTATTTTCAATTAGCTTCCATACAAACTACGGACTCAACAGTCCTTTAACCAGTTTTTTGTGATATTTAAGATATTTAAGTTTTTTTTTCTTTTTTGTGTGATACTTTAGGTTAGGTTTAAAATATCTACTGATACTAATTATTTTGTAAAAGGAGATTTTCCGTAAAAAAATAAAATAAAATATAAACATGTTTACATAGATGTCAGTACACATAAATGGTAAAATACACCACATTTTACATGCATTAACATACAGCATACTCGTATAAAATTTAAAATAAAATAAGATTTTAAAAGATCATGGTTGGTAATAGTAATAAAAAATATATAAAAAAATACAATATTAAAAATATTAGGTGACATGTTTCATTCTTACAAAATAATCGTTAGTGTTGTATAGATACATGTCCAGTAATATCTTTTTAATTTGATGTTTAAACTACACTCACCGGCAGAATTAACCGCCCACCTAATGTTTTGTTATTTAGTTGGAGATATTTGTAATTTTGATTTTTTTTTTACTTTTTAATGTCTAAGTACATCTTGAAAAAGCAAACAAATACCAATCAAATGAAAGTTTTCGTTTAATTTTAGAAAATAAAAGAAAAACAGTTTTTAAAAATTTTGAACTTTGCGAATAAGATGAGCAATACATGAAATTTATCGACAAAAAAGTATTTTTATTAACAAAATTCACTTTAATAACGAGTGTTACCCCCTCTTGCCCTGATCACATCACTAAGCCTGCGTGGAATGGTATCCATGATGGCTTGAATCTCAGCTTGTGGGATGTTTTCTCATTCTTCCACCGCAGCAGTTTTCAGCTCTCGAATAGTGGTTGGAGCTGGTCTTCGTACTCGAATCCGTTTTTTAGATTGTCCCAAATGTGTTCAATTGGATTGAGGTCTGGACTATATATTAAAAATAATAGAGGGCCTAGTACGGATCCTTGTGGAACACCTCGAATCCCACCGTTGGCCGGGATTTTTTCATTTAATTTAATTATTTAAAATTAATTCTGATGCCTTGGTAGGATTCCCCACTCGACCATTCACTGTTGGGTTCTAATTAACAGTGCTTTTCCTAAAGTGGCGCTGGAAACAGTAACAAAGCCTACACATAACACGAGGCTAATGGCCGTAGTAGTTGACGCCGATGACACCAAATTAAAAAAAAAAAGAAGCAATCATCTTATTTGCAATGCCTCTAATGCCATATTTATCTAGTTTGTTGATTAACAATGTGTGTCTTACACAGTCAAATGCTTTAGACAGATCAGTGAATATAGCTACGCATTGTGATTTGTTTTCTAAAGACTCCTGAATGTTATTCATTAAAGCCAGCATGGCATCTGTAGTTGTTCTCCCATGTCTAAAACCATATTGTTCCGCAGAAAACAGGTTGTTGTTTTCAACGAAATGCACAATTTGTTTTACTATAACACTTTCAAGTATTTTAGAAAAGCATGCTAAAATATGTATTTGGCGAACATTTTCAGGTATTGAGTCATCTCCTTTTTTGTAGAACTTTGGACGTTTTAAAAATATCTGGAAAGGTATCTTCAGCTAAACAACAGTTGATCAATTCAGTAATAGGAACAACAATATTTTGGGCGCAGTTTTTTAATAAATAGGTATTAATTTCATATATATCTTGAGTTCTTTTTGATTTAATGTTTTGTATTATATCTATGGTGTCAGATTCAGTAAAAGGAGCTAAGAAAAGTGATTGATGTTTTCGGTTATAACAAGTTAAGTCAATTTTATTTTTATTGTTATTGAGGATGCCTTCTACTATATCAAATTAATGATTTACAAAATATTTATTAAAGGTTTCTATATCGATTATTTCAGATTCTACTTTATTTTTATTATTACGTCCTGCTTCATTATTTATTATTTGCCATACAGTTTTAGATTTATTGTCTGAATTATTAATTTGTTGAAGTAAGTTATTTTGTTTTGCATTTTTTTAGAAAAATACATTGTATTTAGTTTTCTCTTGTTTATATAATTTTTTATTGTAGTCAGTTGGTTTGTTTTTAATGACGTCCTATAAAAATGAGATTAGTTCTTTTTGTCTTTTTATTTCATCTGTATTCATATAACTCAAGTTTTTATTACATTTTCTTTTAGGTTGGGATATATTTGGAATTGTGGCATTAAAATGTTTCATAAATATATTATGAAGTGCTTCAGCTTTTTTATTTGCATTGGTTGTTTTTCTCATGTCATACCAGGTTTCATTTTGCAGAAGATTATTAAGATTATTTATATTACTTTGAGAGAACGATCTAAAATGGGTGATATCTCCTAATATGGAGCGCTCATGATTTAGGAAAGTTGATAATTGAGGGTCATGGTCTGACTCTGTAGTCCTTAACACGCGTAGCAAATATGTTGTCTGGACATGTTCGAGAGCTCTCTGTAATACGAGTATATGTAAATATTGTTTGTTCAAAATTAAACTGAAGTAACAAGTCGGTGAGTTGTCTTGTTCTGCTATCAGGTTCTAAAAATTTTACATTAAAATCCCCACATATAATGATTCTACTATTTTTGTGTTTAGCTTCTAAGATGTAACTGATATACGAATATTTAAGGGTGCGAATCTACATGAAAATTTAATATTTTTCTTTATAAATTAATATTTTCAAAACCGCTTGAGGTATTTCAGAGGTATTTAGTAAGCGGTGACAGTTAATTAAGACCAACAATTAGATATTGTATATTTTTTAATAATATATTAATTTTTTATGACAATACAATGGTTTTTTTTTACTCAACAACAGTGCATCGTTGTAAAACAGTTTAAAAATGGAACGAGGAATTCAAAAATAATTTTTATTTAGAAAAGATCCATTGGCGTGCTGTTTTTTCTTCAAATATATTGAAGTCAGTGCCCATACGCACGCCACTGTTAAAGGTGAAAATTATTTTTGTATAAAAATATATGCACCTTAATTAATTAACACTGTGTACTAAATATCACTGAAACATCTCAAGTGGTTTCGAAAATACTAATTTTTTACTTTTTTTCTAAAACTATATTTTCTTTAATTAATAGTTTCGTATCGGAAAAATTTTGGATCACAATAGTTTATAAAGCAAACTATCATTAATTTTTCATATAGTTGCATACCCTTCCGTAAATTACAAAAAATAAATTTTCTCGTTTTAGATATATTAAGAATATTTTTTCGGTATTTTTTTTTGCAGCATAGCGGAACGAAAGTTAGAAACCGCGAGAATTACTTCAAACCTGTCCAATTGAACCAAAAAGGACAATGGATAGAAAATTTACGGAAACAGTATTCCGTAGAACGTCCAACTGGTTCCAATCAGATACATTGGTATATGGTTTCGATAACGGATGTCCCTGGTTATGAAAAATTGTCTGTGTTGGCTGTCAGCATGGATATCGTTGATTGGGTGTTTGCTTGTAATGCATATATCATAAAAGGAAGCAGTAGAATTTGGTAAACGATATATTATATTAGTAAAAACGGTTTAAATGAAAAATAGATATCATTCAATGTATTTGAGTATATCGATTAAAATGATTTAAAATTAAAATAATTATAAAAATTGAAGAAAAATGTTTAAAATCAAGATTTTTTTTTATATTATGGAAAAAAGTTAAATACTAGAGAAAACAAGTTTTATTTGGTATTACCAATATATGTTATCGGATTATCAATGTCACTTTGTTTGTTATTTATTACAACAAAGCTTTCATTTTAGTATCTTTTAGATTAGAACGTTTATTTATTATGTATTACTAGGTACTTAAAAAATAAGTCTAATAATCCATTTTTGGGTATTATCTGATATCTTATCGGCTTAGTTAGCAAAGGTCGTAACTCCAAAACAAAAAATGTAGGCCTTACTAATATTTCTATAATCGCTATGTGGCTCGATTTTGTTGATCGGCTTTGAGTTTCCAGTTTAATATATAGTTCAGTAATGCATACAGAATCAAATCAGACAATGCTAAAAGAATGCGGTAAAAGTTGTGTTATTGCAAAACACAGAATAAATAGATAGGTATTCTGTGTTACAAATATTGTCCTTTTCCGAGACTTGGAAGGTTTAATACAATATATGACAACCTCCTATATGGAAACAGCAGTCTTTTGTGCATCCTGAATTTGTATCCCTGGAGTGGATGTTATTTTGGAACATTCAATTGGTCCGAGTGAGCTAACTGATTCTTTAGCTATAAACTGGGACCTAACCGTTTCAATGCAACGCCCCTAAATCCATATCTTTCTAGTTTATTTAATAATATTCCATTCATTTGCACAATCAAAAGCTTTAGATAAATCACAGAATACTACACATTTATCATTTAACTCGAGATATAATTTTTCCAAAAATAAAAATACTGCATCTGTAGAACGTTTGGGATAATTGAAAACCAGATTGATTCGGAGAAAGAAGTAGATGTTGATTTAAAAAATTTAAAAACTTTTTCACAATTTTGGCCAAGGTTGGAAGCAAAGATATGGGTCTGTATTTAGAACACTGATTACAATCCACATTCTTAAGTATAGATCATGGAGGAAGGATAATTAAGAGTTGTCGATTTCTTACTGCAATTTCAGTGACATATGGGATTTTTTTCTCTCCTGGGCTCGTCTGACTATGTCTCCGAATAACACTGAAGCCTATTGGCTTATTGTGTTTTACCCCATGTTAGTTCATAGCACCCACTCTGTCACCTTTGTACTTTGTACAAGTTTGTACAGATCCTTGGGTGAGTGGGTTCTATACGTTGTTGGATCAACCTGGGGTTGTCCAAAAAGAGCCTGTCTTTTGGGATCTAGAGCTTCGCATTCGCACAGTATGTGTTTGGTCGTTTCTGGTTTCTTGTGATATTGTACATGCTAATTTTGTTCAAGTGTCCCTTTACTGGGGCATGCCCAGTCATGAACCCTGTTATCACTTTCATAAAGAGTAGTTTTCCAGTTCTTTTGGGACCTGGTCTGCATATGAAAGCTTTTCCATGTGCCTGATTTGGGGTGCTTTCCCAATAGTTAATATGTTGTTCCCAAATCCAGTCGTTTATGAAACCCCGGACTGTACTTTTTGGTACTCCTGGGTTTGTGTCTGGTTCCAGTGTTTCTTCTGACCCTCTTTTTGCAAGTTCGTCAACCTTTTCGTTGACTTCGATCCCTTGGTGACCTGGCACCCAAAATAGTTTTAATCTATTTCGGTCTGCCAGTGTTCTTAGTTCTTCGATGCATTCCCATACCAGCGTCGACGTAACTTTTATACTGATTTTCGACAGCTCGTTCATTGTTCGTTTTTGCACATTGCAAAATTGCGTATACCTCGGTCTGAAATACCGAGGAATGTATTCCTATAGCATAGCTATGGTTAGTATCAGGGTTTTTGGAGAATACTCCCGCCCCAGTGCCTTCCGCAGTCTTAGACCCGTCTGTATACCAGTTTTGTTCCTGTCGTTGGGCATTGGGGTCCTTTATGGTGATCTCAGCTCTTTCCTGTATTAAAACCTCAACTGGAGTATTAAAAGAGTACCTTTTGGTTATGTGGTCTGATCTCATGTCTAGCACGTCTCCTGTCACTAACCTTGAGATACTCATGTGACCTGGCCTAATGTCAAGATTTCCCAGTGTGTTCCCTAATCTGTAAGCACCTAATCTTGCCTCCCTTTGTATCACATAGTGAAGAGGTGGAAGTCCTATTAGTGCTTCTATTGCAGCTGTGGGGGTTGTTTTCATTGCCCCCGTTATTCCGAGACAGGCAAGTCTTTGTACCTTGCTTAGCCTCGTTATTGCTTTCCTTTGCTGTGTCTCTGGCCACCACACCAAATCTGCGTATGTTATTATCGGTCTCACCACCATGTTATAAAGCCAATATACCATGTCTGGTTTAACTCCCATTTTTTTTCCAAAGGATCGCCGTGCCATCATTAACGAGGTTTCTGCTCTTCTTGTGGTTTTTTCTAGATGGTGGTTCCAGGTAAGTCTCGAGTCAATCCTAACTCCGAGATATTTTACCTCCCCCTTAAGCTGGATGCTTGCACCTCTTAGGTTTAGAAGCCCTAGTCCCTCCAATTTCCTCTTGCGGGTGAATGCAATTATGTCAGATTTGTTTGGGCTAATGTTTAGTCCTTCCGCCTCTGTCTATTTTGTTACTATATTTAGAGCCTCTTGCATTCGATTTCTTACTCTTACTATAGTGATATATTTTCCCTGTACCATGATCACTAGATCATCGGCATATCCCAGGGTTCTATGTCCCTTATCTTTGAGAGCCCTAAGCAGCCCGTCCACTACAAGGTTCCACAGGAGTGGAGACAGTACTCCACCCTTCGGACATCCTCTCGCTACCCGTACCGCTATTGTCTCTCCCATAAAGGTTGTGTGTATAGTTCTCTCCCTTGACATAGAGTCGATTCCAGGACACGCACGTGTCCTCGATTCCTCTGTGTTTGAGAGATTTAATGATCGATTCAACGGAGGTATTGTCAAATGCACCCTCGATATCCAAGAATGCTCCCTCCATTACCTCCTTGTTTTCCAGTGTGTTCTCCACCCCTTTTATTAATTGATGGAGAGCTGTTTCAGTTGATTTCCCTGCACTATAGACTGTAATTTTTCATTTGTAGATAATAAAATTTATAAAACTATTAAATAATGTGTTGCCAATTCCCAAGCTGTTGTTTTAAATTTTTCCGTTTTCCGTTTGAAGCTTAATACATTTTGGTTCAAACGTTCGTTGGTCTTTTTCAAGCTATCATTGACAACTTTTAGGTTTTCCATTTGAAGCTTAATACATTTTGTTTCAAAGATTCGTTGTCCTCTTTTTGTTACCAATGAAAAACTTTGTACCAAATTTTATTTTAAAAAGTTATTGGCCTTCACTATCTGTTGGAAATGCATCTAACATGTTGCATCGGTTCATAGGGCCGGCCATGCATAATAAATTCCGATAATCAACTTTTGTACCGTCCTCTGAACGGTCACAATGCGCAAACGCCGATTTCGTACTGTTTATTGGCGGAATAAAAATATGTAAATGATTTTTAACGATACCTTGAAATGGGTATTAGAAAAACAAATATCCTAATAAATGTGAAATAAACTTAAGACGAAATAAATATAAAACTTAAAAAAGGACCTCTTATCGATTGCGTTACGATCTTCGCTAACTAGGCTGATGATTTATTGTTTGCTTATGATTTATAAACCTCCGCCTTTTTCTATGAGCAACCAAAGATTTCTAAAAGACGGTACATCCGTATGATGTATAGATTTTCATTGAAAATATTTTTTACCCATTGTCTAATAGAGTAATATAAATTAGAGATGTTAACGTTTTGCGTTAAGACAGAAAGTCTAAGTTATGTATTTTTTCAGCCGCGAGGCATTGCATATGACACATAAGTCAGAAATTGCACCATCGGCAAAATATAAGAGAAGATTTTTTAATATAAATCTTAAAGATTTAAAAAAAGAACATCCAGATTTGACTCACATTGTTTTTAGATCTCTACCCACTGATGATCCAGTAAGTTAATATATTGCTACTTTGCTTTTTTCACATAGTTGTTTAAATTTTATTCTTCATTAGTTTTTTATTTATTACAAAGTGGTAACTCCGAGTTTCACCAGCAATGGCATCGAAGTGGCAATTCCCTGTTGCCACTCTTGACATTTGTGACGCATGACAGTACAAATCTTAAACCAATTTCACATGACGACTCATCTATAACACGTTTTTTTATCAGGCATTTCAAACAAAATGGCTACCAGTGGGTAATGAGAGGTTATGGTATGGCAACCCTGTAGGCCTGGTGATTTGGCAGGATTAGTGATATAGATAGTTACATAGATTGATCAGTCATGCTTTTCAAAATAAACATAAGCTTATCTATCGAAGTAAAAATGTAGGTAATTATTTTTTTACTATATCCAAAGGCTGAAAATTGGTTTTAAAACCGATTCTGATTAATAAGCACTTGCGAGGCAATATGGCCGCTAACAAAAGGACACGCTTTGAGCAATCTATATAAATATATATGTATCCTTGACAGTGTCACAGACAACAGGCCCACAGGGTTGCCATATGATAACCTGTCATTGCCAACGGGTATCGTTGGAATGCCTGATTACAAAACTTACCTACTACAAACTAACTAGAAATATTATAAAGCATAAGAACTATTACAAATCAACTGTTTGATCTGCATCTATGTTTGTTTCGTAACATTTTAAATAACCTGGTGGTTTAAAATCCATTTTCTTTCTTTTTAACAACCAACCTCGTGGTAGTTTTAAGGTTATCTTTCACGTTTATTACGAAATTCTCCAAACATGTGTCCTTCACTTGACACTTTGTTTTAGTATTTAAATGTTCCACACCTGCCACCATGTTTTAATGATATTCTTTATTAATTTTTTAAAATAACTTTATTGTTTATTACAATGTGCAATGGCACCTAAGTGGCCGTTCGCGGTTGCCGCTCTTAACATTTATGATGCATGACAGTACACATCTTAAGCCTATTTCACATGACGACACGTCCATAACCGTAGTAACTGCGTTATAATAGTTTTTTTTTTTAATAAAAAATGCAAAATTAAATACTTTGTTGCTTTAATCTGTCCATGTGATGTCTTTATTGGTTTTAGTAACTTTACACCTAACTATGTTAACATTCTGTACATATTTTTTTAGTTAGAATATCACGTTGATATTCATGGTGCCGATCAGCGATCTCTAACAATTCAATTGCCGTCTTGGTTTTCATTTAAGAGTCAAGTAATTCTAGAGAAAACCCCCGAAAGGGCGTTGAAATATGAAATAATAATAGCGCAGTTGAATCATATAATACAGTATTATAAATTATTCTTAGAACCATTGGAATGCTCAAAATCGGAGCATCATGCGTCCATTACGTTGACAGTGCCTTGGAGTAGCGAAAACTATCACGGATTTGTCACGTGAGTAAATCTTTATACGAAATTGTGTTGTTTCATAAATTATTGTGTTTTGTAGAAAATGTTCAATAACGTTATAAAAAAAATGGTGTTATAATTTGACTTTCTTGTTTCTGGTGTAATATTTTCATGTATAGTGGTTTTATCTTAACTCGTCAATCAGGTGTTTAAAATATGTGACACTTTTATATGGTTTAAAATTGCCTCATAGATTCTTTCATGACGCATATTTTTGACAATTCAGCCATATAAATTGGGTGATGAAATATAATCAAACATTTACTTCCTATTTGCTCTACGTTTTTAAATTCGTTACGGAATAGTCAGGAAAGATTCTATTAAATTTTGGTAAACCTTCATTCCTGTTTATTATAGTTTAATATCTCAGACCATGGTCTTCTTTACCTAACAGGCCGGAGCATTATATTTGGCAACACCGCCGACTGAGAAAATACCAACTTGTCGACATAATTTGAAAGCAGGGAATATAGGATTGTAGTGTTCATTATAGTTAAATTGGTTTTTAACTATTTATTTAAGATTTAAAATGCTCTATAAATGTGCAGGTAAATGGTCATGATTAGTAAAATTGTTGGAATCAATAACATTTTGAGAAAATGTACTTATTTAGCTAATTCTAGTAACCAATAAAGGATTTGGATTAGATGTTTTTAAAGTGAAATGAATATGATAAATAAATCTTTATTATGTTTAAATATGAATATATTATTACAAGATTAAATAGATACTTACAAATACAACAAAACAGTTACTTCTGCAATGTTACTAATTTTCATTTCATATTATTTTTTAAATTTAATACATTATCGTTACGGATTTTAATATAATTATTTATAAATATATTGGCTAGATGTATAATTTGTTAAGCAACCTTTGCTGTCTAAAGAGCTCCATTTATAAAGCCACTTAATAAATTTTTGCAAAAAACATTCTTTAATCATTGAGCGAGCAAAAAGATTTTAAAAAATGATTTCTCTTAAATATATGTAGTAATGGATTTTTTATGTTAACTATGCGCCACCACTTATTTAAAATAATATTTAACAATTTTGCAGTTTCTTCACTGTATGTAATTTAGGCTGCATATGTGTGATCTCAACAAATATTACATACTAAAGAGACCTTTTTCTAAATTGCTTGGATACACAGTTTTATAATTTAATTTAGGTGATGCCTTTACTAAAAGACTAGCTTTTAATTTATAAAAAAATTTTAATACCTATCAAGAAAGTTGACTCTTCAAATTTATTTAATATATTTTCAATTTGGGACCATCGATTCAAAGTAAGATCATTAGAAAGTATTCAACTCAAATCTTTTACAATCAGCATATTGTTTATACGTAGTTCAACATTTACAGAATTATAAATGTTAATATTTTTTACCACTTTAGGTTCTTCTTGTTCATAATCAATTATATAAAACCACACAAAATTTTCGGTAATATGACACTTTCACTTAAGTAACACTTTATCTAACTTTTTCATAAATAATTCACAAAACCTTGTATAAGTTTACAATGAAGTCCTTCTGAAGCCACTGTAGTTGACGTACTTCCTCAAGCCTCAAAAAAGTTTCTTTTTGAAGTAAAGGGGCACATCTAGACTTACTTTGCTCAACAGTAAAATATTTTGGAAGTCCACCAAACACTAGGAAAAGCATTCTTTTTCAAAATTTGTCGATTTGGTTGAAAAGTTTTGTGCACACAATCTTTATCAGTATATTGTTCAATATAAGATAGGTCTTCCTCTATAAAGTGTTTTATACAAACAACTCAGTATTTAGTTGGTTCCAAGCCTTTTCAAGAAATACTTTTAATCCACCATTTAACAGCGTTTGTTTGGGTTGTGAGGGGGAAATTCTTGGACACTAAAACCAAAGTCGCATCATTTTTACGGCGTTTGCAATTAATATAAATAATAAATTTGATACATACCTTTAAAATTCTTTAAATTAGGGACATATTTTATATTTAAGTAGGTATCTAGTAATAGTAAATTATTATTACTAATAATATTATTATTATTATTATTATTTGTGTTGGACACATCAGATTTATGAAATAATAGGCAATAAAAAGGATAAGAAGCTTATATTTTAAAATCGAAAGTATAAATAAATAGTAGGTATATTATACAAATATTTATGATATCTATTAACACACGTGTACGAGAATTATAATACAAGAATTTTTTCCAATAATTTATTAAATATAAAAATATTGTTTGTAAACAATGTTTAATAGATTACTAAACGATATGTTACAAATAGAAATCAAGCTAATACTTAGGTACTTAGGTACATTTGCACGGCCAGTTGTTAACAAATGTGAAGCTTTATTTTTATTGGAAAACTGTCTTAAGCTTCGATTATTTCTTAATGACTAGGAGTGTAAATAAAAGAAGCTAAAAATGACTTTTTTATTAAAAAACTCACATTAGGCTTTGCTTACTTCTTAACGACCAGCAGTCTACTTAATTAAAGAACATAGGTACATTTAATAAAAAATAATTATTGTCATTTTTGTGGTTTATAAAAAATATAGGTAGTAATAGGTATTTGAAAATAAAATTTATGTTGTATTAAAAAGTTCCTAGTTACTTACATGTTTTCTAATTCTGCATTTTCTTTTACTGCAACAGAGGCTTCATAGTTCAGATCATCACTAAAAAGTTAAAAATTTTGAACGAATAACCCACAAGAAAAGTGCAGGGTTTTTTACCTTCTGGGGCCTCAGTAAATCCTAATTCTAATAGCAGTGCACCTGGAATTAATCTAAGTCTTCTTCCGCATCCAGTCTTTCACATAGACATATATCCAGAAAAATGATTGGAACATAAAATATCACTATTTGAAATGTGTTCTGGAGTAAGTTTCAATATGTTTCACCAAATGCGTTTTTCGGCAGGATTAGCTGGAAACCTACAAAAAACAAAAATTATTGATTTAACATTATCATGATAAAATGACTTAAAAACGAAAAGCTTGTTTATATTAAAAAATTATGATTAATTTTTTTAAACTTTTCAGTTGTGTCCAAAATCTAAAACAAAACATACCTACATAAGTTCTTTAAATTTAATTCACTAAATTTATCATTTATTTTAAATTCATGTTTAACGGCCTTTTGCATAAAATGTTTGTTTCTTTTAAAAAAATTATAGTGACGCTAATGGTTACTTACTTGTGAAATGACCTTAACGATGCCTTTTCATATTTCTATTTAAAACTTACACAAACTCTCATTATTGTTAAAATTTGTATCAGTAAAGTAATAAAATACAAAAAAATCACTTATAAACTATAAAAATAAGCTAGAAATTAATGAAAATCAAAAATCAAATGACAGTTCTGACAATTTCAAACGATTTGATATGCCAAGCAAAAAGAAACAGACCAATGGGGATACTGGACACTATTTTTCCCCCCTGTACCAAAACAAAGTCCATTTGAACGATGGCTCTAGTAATATATGCTCGAAGATTCTGGTACACAACACTTTAATGGCATCTAAAATATATAAAGAAATTCGTTTTACAAAAAGTAGGTTTATCTATGAAATAAATTCTTAGAAGTTAGGTTAAAGGTGGATTCATAAACTACGTTCAGTTCGCGCTCAGTTGCAGTTGGCAAGACAACCACAAATTCCACAAAATATAATTATTTTTTGGTGTTATTTTTGTTTTAATTATATTGGTAGATGGTGTTGGTTATAAAATTATTATGAATCCGTTATAACTTCTTATCCAAAACATACTTACCGTGTCATTTTGCTCTGTTTATGTTGAACTCGAACTGAGCGTGAACTGAACGTAGTTTATGAATCCACCTTAATACTTACATTTTATTATTAGAACATACAAAAATAAAATTAATGTATATATGTAAAGTAAAACAGTCCAAAACACAAACTAAAACACAATACCAAAAAAACAACCCTTCTTCCACTCAACACAAATTGTAGCAACACGAGTCCAAAGTAAAACTGTAAACAAACAACATAAACAAAATGATAATATTCAATCCATCGGCCTTCGCCGCAGTGTTGCCAAATATCAATGTTCCGGCCTGTTAGATAAAGACGGCCATGCCCAGACCTACGTTATTTTACAACACGATTATATGAATCATTTTTCACGGTGTAATTTTTAGGTTATACCCTTATAGTACATGAGAACCATTCTAGCCACTTTCTAAAACTTTATTAAATGCTTTCTGATCGATATTTTTTGAAATTAACAACCCGTTCTATAATCTGTATGTGATTTACATGTGGATGAGCAATCTATGTAATTGTATACATCATTGATGTGCTCTGAATATCGACTCCATGGAGGTAGAAGGTAGGGAGACGCTATGAGCATCTTTTTCAAACATTCAAAACGGTATCACTTAGTCGTGGTGACAGTGATTCCAATATGGCCGTTCTGCCAGGCGCAGACTATTGGTAATGCAACTCAAACCCTAATTTGCTTTTTTAATTAATTGTAAGTTATAAATTAATTGTCATAAAACGGATAATTACTAACAGTTTTAATAAAAGTATTGAAAAATTATTAAAATGCAAGTAAAAGGAGACTTTCTGTAACATAGTTAAAAAAAATAAATAAAAATTCCTCATTTCATTTTATATGTCACGGTTTATCAGTTACGGTTTAACATAAAATAATCAAACAGTTGATAAGGTATTAATAGAAAATATATTACGGCAAAATCAATATCCAATATAAAAATTATGTTTATTGACCCTTAAACAATACAATTTTATTATTGTGATGTCTTATGCTATCACATTTTTTTATTTTACTTTTAATAAGGTAACACATCCTAATGTTTGTGTATTTGGTAGCTAAAGCTTTTATTAACAGAACTCTATGGTTATCCAATGGATCCTGATCAAAACCGTGTGCTATCAAATTTGCAAATATATTATTTTATTTATAAATGACTTTAACACTGAAGATACAATAGAGTCTACAGAATTAAGATGATAATTTGAACTAACAGTTCTCTTTTTGAGTATTTCTTCACATTGCAGACAAACGTCTATCACATCCACAGAGGGATACTGTAGGCTCTTTTTATTATTTTTGTCTATAAATGAAAATATTTGTAGGTCTTTCTGGTCTGCACATAAAGAATTTACGCATTCCTCACAAATAAGCTTTTTTTTGAAGAGAATATAGTATAGCCAGCAATATACATTACAATATATTTTGTAAATTCCGATAGCGTAGGGTTTGGTAAATAATCATGATCATGCTCAGTATTATCTAGCACACTGTAGTAATTTTCTGATAAACCAAGAGCCCTGTAGTCTCTTGAAGATTCGTTAATTTGTTGAACGGGACATTTTAAAATTCGGAGCTCTTCTAGCGGAATACAATTTTCACGAAAACTTTCATGTACTTCGACATGTACTAATATTTTCTTATAAGCTGCCTGAAATTGTCGGGCGGTGGGGTTATTGTTGTGGCCTCCATGTGAGCGAATGCAGCCAAAGAATAATTCTATGTGGTCTTGAGATATTTTATACATTGGTAAAAACTGTAGAGTGTTGGAAGAAATATACTTATCCATGTCATTTAAAGAAGTTTCTTTACTTTCATATTTTTTTAAAGACAAATGCTTTTTATAATGAAACTGAAGTAAATTTATAGAATTTAAGATAACAAAGAGAATATTTATGATTATTTTAAATCTAATTTTTGCACCAACTGCAACAAATTCTATCATTTTTAATTCATCTTTACAAAACCCTAATATGGTTACAACACATTCACTCAAAGCACAATAAATATCTCAAATACGACCCTGCACATTGTTTACTATGTTGTATATTTAGTTGTGGAATGTTATTTCAGATCATTTCTTCATATACATATCTATTAGGTTGCTAAAAATACGTTTAGCACAAGCAACCAATGTTTAATTTTTAATATGTACAATATATAGTTTGCAAACGACATAAAAATTGAAAAACCGTTCATTGAAACCACCATTAGCTGTTTGAAGTATTTGTCAATCTAATATGGCGGAAGTGAACCCGTCTTGGACTACCTGACAGCGTCTCCCTACCTTCTACCTCCATGATCGACTCCTACACAGTGTTGTTCCTAGGGATTTTTGAATTGTACAACTTTCAGTGTCAAAATTGTACACTTTTACTTTCGATTGTACAACCACTAATTAATCTTCTTCTTTTTTATTGACAGCTATGGCCTACTACTTTCCCATGCTTAAAATTCTTCTTTTTTTCAGTTTAAAATATATTTTTGATGTAAAACGGTGTACTGATTGGTCGCGAATGGCGCCAAATTTAAACTTTTATTTTTTTATTAATTTTAATGCATGCTATTTAACAAATCGTAGACTTTTTGAGCGAAGAAAACCTTTTATATACCCGATTTTACATAAATATTTAGCAATTTCAAATTGTACAACATTTATGTCTTTTTTCAAAAGTGCGTACAACAGTACAACCGCATAACTGATTGTACAACTTTTTGTACAATTGTACAACCAGGAACAACACTGCTCCTACAACTTGCGGCGCTCAAACAAAATGGTTGACCGTGAGTAATGACAGGTTATGATATGGCAACTCTTTGGGCCTGGTGACAGGGTCAATGATATAGATAGTTATATAGATTGATCATCCATGTTTTACAAAATAAACATAATCATATGCCTTAATTAGGAAATTATATTTTACTATATTCAAATGCTAAAAGTTGGTTTTAAAACACATTTTTGCTAGACCTATCCTAATTGACCTTCCCCATTATTAGACAATTTCGCATTACTAATAGAGTTTCGTTTTTGATAATGTATAAAAATAACAAAAACATTAATCTTAATGTCCTGGCAGCATCCTCTGGGGGTCCCTCATCAGCTTAGAGCCAGGAAATTGAAACGAATTGAGGTTTAAGATATTTTTTTCTGTGTTAATGCCAAGCAGTCAATTTTGTTAATTCCTAAGTTCTACAATGTCACTTTAAAAAAAAACTAGTTTTACTTTAATCTAAACACCTACAACCCTAGAAAATCAAAACCGTAAAAACAGGATAGGTTTTCCTATGCTTTATGACATAATCAAGACTTAGAAGAAGAATTGTTCCTTCGACATACATGCATTTTTCCAATGCCTACTTTAGAAACATTTTTTTGTGGATCACTCCTTACTAATGACAAAGTATAAATTAAAAAATATAGTTTTGAACCAACAAATTTCGCATTTTTTAAAAACTTTTTTAATTTATTTTGCATGTTTTTTTATTAGCATTGTTTTATTTTTAGGAACAATGTAAAAAAGCCATTTAATGTAAGATTATTTAGTTCTAAGCCAAGTGCATTACAAAACTCTTCTGCTGTGATAAAATTAATTTTAGATCCATCCTGTACATATAGAATAAGGTAAACGTAGCATAAATATGTTTTTTCGTTATTTAAGAAAGTATTTTATTATTTAATTTTTTTAATAACTTTAAATCTTATATTTTAATTATTTAATTCCTTTATTGTTTTTTAGTATTCGTTCCTCAATCTTTGGTACCCTTGGTCAAATAGCAAGAACTTACAGTCCCTTATTATTAGCCAATATTGCCGCAGTAGCTCTAATGTCCCTTAGGTACCAATTTAAAAGTCTAGAAGAAGGTTATTGCTCAATTCCCTTTGCAGCTATACAAGAAGGAGCTAAACCGTATTATGTTTTGACAGCATATAAGATTATGTCTAGATTGTTGAGGTAAATATTATTTTATTTTAGTGATATATGCTCTCGTATTAAAAATAACATTGTATTGAATATGCCGTTCAGTTTCTTTTTAAACATTTCACTCTATATAATATTTATTAATATTTTTTCGAGGTTATTTAACTTTTCTTTTATAGACAGTACCTAGGTTGAAAAGTATCATAGAAAATTCTTTTGGTATTTTGACGATAACATAAAATATCAAGCATCAAATAAAAAATGGAAAGCGACGTTACATTTTGTGATGGACTGTTTGCATAGAATAATTTTGACAGTGTTATTATTACTATACAGAGTGAGCGATGTTTGACTTTTATAGCTACTCCCGATTTAAAAAGAAACTGAACGGCACACACTATAAAATGTTGAACATAATTAATTTTTTTAGTTGGTCAATTTTACCCCGTTTCTTTTTGAAATCAGACTATTTATACATGTTGGATGATGGTACAGATTTTTTCCTATTGCCATTGCTTCTATATTTATGCAGTGTTGGAATTTTGTGGATGTTAACAGTCGCTTTCAGCATCTCTTTGGTAGCTCTAGAATCGACCATACACAAACTATCTTTGAAGTAAGATTTTCATTATATTTTTAGGCATAAATTAAAACAGCACATTTTAGGTTATTAGCCGCAACTGTCAGCTTTAATATGGCTTGGTCCGATTATTTTTTGAGCTACTTACAAAAATTACCTGTCGTTGTTGCTCTAACCTTGATCTGCTTATCGATGGGTGCGTGCGGAGGGCTTGCATTGTGTTTAGGTGCAGGATTTTACTTTTTAAAGGTTAGTACAGCAACGTCAAAACAGTGGTTGTCATTCTCCTCGTTATTGCTTATAATTTCATTGTTGGGACTATTTTTAATGCGAGAATTGGTCAGTATGCTCCGTCTTTGAACTATCTATAATAATTTCTATGAATTTATTTGAATTTCTATGAATTTCTATGAATTTCTATGAATTTCTATGAATTTCTATGAATTTCTATGAATTTCTATGAATTTCTATGAATTTCTATGAATTTCTATGAATTTCTATGAATTTCTATGAATTTCTATGAATTTCTATGAATTTCTATGAATTTCTATGAATTTCTATGAATTTCTATGAATTTCTATGAATTTCTATGAATTTCTATGAATTTCTATGAATTTCTATGAATTTCTATGAATTTCTATGAATTTCTATGAATTTCTATGAATTTCTATGAATTTCTATGAATTTCTATGAATTTCTATGAATTTCTATGAATTTCTATGAATTTCTATGAATTTCTATGAATTTCTATGAATTTCTATGAATTTCTATGAATTTCTATGAATTTCTATGAATTTCTATGAATTTCTATGAATTTCTATGAATTTCTATGAATTTCTATGAATTTCTATGAATTTCTATGAATTTCTATGAATTTCTATGAATTTCTATGAATTTCTATGAATTTCTATGAATTTCTATGAATTTCTATGAATTTCTATGAATTTCTATGAATTTCTATGAATTTCTATGAATTTCTATGAATTTCTATGAATTTCTATGAATTTCTATGAATTTCTATGAATTTCTATGAATTTCTATGAATTTCGATGAATTTCTATGAATTTCTATGAATTTCTATGAATTTCTATGAATTTCTATGAATTTCTATGAATTTCTATGAATTTCTATGAATTTCTATGAATTTCTATGAATTTCTATGAATTTCTATGAATTTATATAAATTTCTATAAATTTCTATGAATTTTTTTTCAATAATACCCATAACATATTATCAATGCATCAAACTGTCAATATTAGGCTACTGTAAGTCAGAGATGGAGGGAGCATATAATCAATCCTCGTGTATGTGTACGCATTACTTGAAAATTAACTTGTGATATATTTTCTGCGACACACTTTAAAAAAGTAGTTTTTGCTTTTATGTTTTAGTTGACTCAAATGTCGCAAGACTTTGTAGAGGAAGTTGTATGGTTTTTTGTTAAACAATTAGGAAGAAAATGCAAAGCTTTCTTCAAGAAAAGATCCTCAAACAATCCAGATGCTCAAGTTATAGTCGCAAGTACTTCTCGAGCAAATTTTGAAACTTCACGCCATACTCACGGACAAATAGAGACAAACAGTGATAATTCACAACAAGATGAACCTACAGAGAACGTATTAGAGCTTCGAAGTAGTGATAACACAACTGAAGATAGCGAAAATGAAGAAAATAGTTTAGAAATGGTAGATAAAGAAGTAATGACAGAAAAAATAAATAAAAGCGGACGAATAATAAGAAGAAGCGATTTATCTCCAGTTAAAAGTAGAAAAAATGTAAACAAAGAGATGGAAGGAGATGGTGACAAAATGAACGAAAAAGAATTTGAAATCATTGGTGATGACAAACATGCAGACGAAAATTTAGAACAAAACCAATGGGAAGGAGCTGAAGAAAACGATAGAGAAGATAGTGAGAAAATTAAAAATACCGGTGAACTTAAAGTGATAAACGCAACTGATTGTGATGATACAAACTCGAAGACTGAAGATGACCGTGAAGAAAAACATGGTAAAAACGCTTTAGAAGAAAATACGGAAACTGCGACTCAACAATTAGTTAAGAAATGTAAGAAAATTATACCTAATAGAACGAGAAGAGGTTTCAGAAGTAATTCTGATAATAAAAAACCCGAAGATCTATCATTCGAAGACCTGGATCTTTCTTCGTCATATAATGCGATATTTTTCCATTCCACCATTTTCTTTTTGTGGTGTATTGTTACTATTATTAATATCCCTGCCGTTCTCACTTGGGCTCATAACTTTAGGTGAGTTTTTTTTTCAAATTTTTTTATAACAAAATTATATTTTAATATTATAATTATTTATTTGAAGGAATTTTAGAGGACACAAAAGATTGGGGAGTCTTTGGGGACGTGTTTGGAGTAGTCAGCTAGTAAAATACTAAAAGCCCCCAAACTTAGATACATGATTATATGATACTTTTATTTTTTTCTTTATATCTCAAAAACAATGGTTTGTTAGAAAAATACTCTTTGACAAATGAAAGCTATCAAAATTTCCTACATTATTTTTATTAATTTTTAACATATCCCTAGCGAAAACCTTTTTCTTACGTACAATTATTTACGAAAGAAGTTATAGAGCAGTAAATTTCCTTGTAATTGTTGTAACCTCAACTGGACTGAAGTTACAGCATTTTGATTTTTTTTTTGTTAATTTTGAAATTTTAAAAGAAACTCCCACATTGCTATTTCTTGTTTTAAATAGTTTTTCAGCAACCATAAATGACTAAACTTACTGTGTTTTTTTTCAAGTTCTTTATTTAAAACTGTAGATCTACTAACCTCATATCATTTTCTTTTAACACTTACCAAAATTACTTTTGATATTTTTATCAACTCCTGATTTTCTAACACATTTTTTAACTAAGGATTCATCTGATCCTTTGTCTATTAACATTTTGATTTTCTTCCTTTCACAAATCATAATCCATTTAATTCTTCGACTCATCCGCATATTATCCACCCTTCTAATTTGATCGTTTCTACTCTGGTTTCCAGTTGGATTTCTACATTACCTATCGTCAGCTATTCTGCTACTCTCATTCTACCTCTACCATTCAGATTTCGATCCTATTTCTATAAATTTATCGATCATTATCACCCTATTCCTCCTATCATAATTGTCCTGTCGATAATTACTGAAGTGATTATTTCTTCCATTCTTATTCTGATAACTTTGATTATGACTGAATCTATTCTACCTATCTACTAACTCATTATACCATTCTCTTTGTTTTTCGGACCTTCCAACTTTCCACTCGCTTTCATGCCAACCTAGTCCTACATCTTGTTCTATCCTAAGCAAATAATGGTTTAGTATGTTCATACATTAATATTTCGCAAATATATGATTTCCGTCACCATAAATTTAAAATATCATGCTATGTACCTTATAGAAGGATCCAAGTATTGAGCCATGCTATACCCCTATAAAACATATTGACTATACTTTATTTCCTTACTCTCATCTGAATACAATTTTCCCCTTGCATTTTGCCTATGCAAATTCACCACAATAATAATCCATGAAACTCTCTTCAAACTCGTCAAGTGTTTGAATACTGGCCTTCTTGAAAATCACATTATAACCTGTCCACCTATTGCTTAATTTATATATTCTTTAATGTCCTTTATCATGATCACATTCCTCACTCAATGCCTTAACATCCTAATAAATATCATCGGTTGTAACTTTGCCATATCACCAGTTTATGTTCCATCCTTGCACTTTGAATCGACTGTAACCACCCTAGTATTTACGATCTCCTGCATTCGTTCTTCCATATGCATTATTTTCCCTGACCTCTCATTAACTTCATATAATGCTTCCTTAACCTTCCCTAAATTACTAACAACCTCGTTTCCTATCCAAATCTTGTCATCCTGCACCTTTTCTATCTCCTCTATTCTACTGATGACTTCCGACTTCCTCCCTATCATCCTTATTAGTTTGTACTAATCTCCTATCGGTAACCAGCTTCAATATCTATCATTTCCAGCCACAATTCTAACTCTGTTCTTTCCAACCTCTTACCACTGTTCTTTACCTTGCTACTGACAAAAACTCGCATACAAAACTACAATAGCTTGCGTAAGCTGTAAAAGAATATGTGGGAAAAACGGGTCTATCCCCAAAATGTCCATACGTTTATACACAAGGGTGATAAGACCCATGATAACATATGGCGCAGTGGCGTGGGTAACAAAAATTGCGCAGGCAAATGCAACAGGCCAACTCACCGACATTCAGCAGCATGTTTGTCTGAGTGCCACTGGGATCATGCGTACTACACAAACTGCAGCAATGGAGGTACTATTAAACCTCACGCCACTACACATCTATATACAAGGAGAAACCAGGTCCGTTATTCACAGGCTAATTCAAGGACAAAACTTAATAAGCCAACTAAATAGCACTGACCATACGAGGCTATATCAGCAAGTAAAGCAGGTTACGATTCTAGGAATGTCTATTGATATAGCCATAACTACATACAAATTTGAAAGAAACTTTCAAAATCTAATGCCAGCCCGAGAATCCTGGAAGTAGGTACCTCCCATATAGGCTGAACTCGTCTAGTATACAGATGGTTCAAAAACCAAGGAAGAAGCCGGTGCTGAATTCTATAGACCCAAGTCGAAAACAACGATTTCGCTGAGTCTACGAGAATATGCAACAGTGTGCAAGATAAATAATAAATCGGCAAGTATCAGACAAAACTATTGCCATTAACTATGATACCCAAGCAGCTCTAAAGGTAATTCTCTCACTAGAAATCAAATCATGACTGGCGAAAGACTGCCTAGAAGACCTGACAGCTAAGAAGTAGTAGTGACAGCCTGGGTGCAAGGCCACGAGACATCAGGACAATAAAAAGGCCGACGAATTAGCCTTAGAAGGCTCAGATAAGGCCATGGCAGGCCCCGAACTCTTCAGTGGAGTTGCTAAGGCATTGTGCAAGGCATCCATCAATCCATGGATGCAAAAAGAGTCTCAGGAATGGTGCAACAATTGTCCAAGACTAAGACAGGCCAAACAGTTCATCAAGGAACCATCTGCCAAGTTCATGAAATACCTACTGGATCAAAAACGTCAAATCGTTAGGATAACAGTAGGTCTTCTTACATTGGCACCTAAGAAGGCACATGAGTGTCATCAATCCAGCAGAAGAAGAGGAAACATAAATCCACGTCCTGTGCCAGTGTGAAGGCCTGACTTGATTGATGTTTCTAGCATTAGGCGAAGAAAAGTCAAACGGATGGAACTACATGCAGGAGCCACTGTCGAAGCGTCGAAGCTACTAAGTCTAATAAAAAAGACCAAGCTAGACGACATCTCTAAAAAAACGGAGTCCCACAATAGATCTGTGTAAAGGTCGCGGTGGACAAGGATAAATCTGTGATAAGATGGCAAAAGCATATATGTCAAAATTTTGCCATTTTGATATTATTATACCTTTATGATCCTCGTAATGAGATCTATAAGATGGCAAAATGAGATACGCTAAATCTATTTCTGTGTTGTGCTATTTGATAGTGTCAAGATCGAATATGTTGAAGACAGCGATAACTAACTTTGGCAAAGCCATATATGTCTTAAACAGGTTATTGCCTGCTTGTAGTCTATTGGTGCATCTTGTTTGAGAAGGTGGCAAAATACTATATGTTAATATATTGTAAAATAGCATCATTTAAAAGATGGCAAAACTAAATATACAAATTAAACAGCCTTATATTGATACATGTCGTAAATGCGACGAATATAAGGCTCTAAAGAAGAGCGCCACTAATGAAGCAGATAAAGAGAAACTAAATCAGCTTCACGACGAACGCGTTCAGGAAGCTAATAAGGCTTATGAATGTAAAAGAAGAGACAAGGACTCAGCTGCGGAAGATCAAACAAAGAGAGTACTGGTTTTTGACCTGCAACAAGTCCTGCCTGCTCCGTAGTTTACATAGTTTACTATAAGCGTGTCTTATCTGTGTACAATCTTACTGTTCGAGACTGTTCCACCACTGAATCTTCAGTCTGCTATATGTGGTACGAAGTAATTGGAGGCAGAGGTTCTGATCAAATTGCTTCATGCCTTTACAATAAATTGATAAATTTACCTGAGACCGTTCAGCACGTCACAACATATTCAGACACTTGCGGGGGACAGAACCGCAATATTAATATGGAGGTTATGTTTCTATATGCAATTAAACAAAAAACAACTATTGAAATAATTGATCAGAAATTTCTTTTGCCAGGCCATATACGCCTTGAGTGTGACAGTGATCACGCAAGGATTGAAAGGAGTAAAAAACAAATTTCCAATGACTTCAAAATAATGGTGCCACGAGAATGGTTTTAGTTTGTACGCTCGCTTAGAGGTAAATCCAAATTTACTGTTGTTGACATGGGGCAAGAAGATTTTCTGGCATTTTCCAAACTCATAGGTAACGTTTTAGTAAAAAGAGTGAGCGACACCAATGGTGAAAAGGTATCTTGGTTAAAGATAAAGTGGTTAAGATATACCAGAGAGTTTGGAATAATCCAGTTCAAGTATAGCCTTGAAGAAGACGTACCATTTAGGACTTTAGATTTAAGAAAAGGAAAAAGGAGGGGTCGACCATCACTCGACTTTATTACTGTCCCTCTCTCGTACAGTGGTCCCTTGAAAGAAGAAAAAGAAAGACCTTTTGTCGATCTTGAATCTCATAGACAAAGACTGCCATTCATTTTATCAAAATATACCAACCACATCCCAGGCAAGGGAGTACGATGAATTAGAAAATGATGATACCGACTCCGATGACTAAAAATTATTTGTACTTTTAAGAAAAAATTAAAATTATCATACAGTTCGTAAAAAAATCTTACTTCTCATTACTCTTTCCCATTTTAATATTTACATTAAATAACAGAATTATAAGATGGCAGAACCATATATGCATGAAATATCAAAAGTATTTTAAAAAGTGGCGATCCAACTTCTTTCGCGTTTCGCACCATAAAACTGATTTTATAATAAGTTTTAAAACTTTAAACTGCTCTCCTGAAAACTATAAAAAATTGACATATATGGTTTAGCCATCTTTCCACAGAAATAATGTACAACTCCTTTCAAATCCAATCTAATCTACTGACTTCATCTCTTGTTTCCTTACTCAGATTAGTCCCTATTTCCTTACTTTCCTTTATCATCCTTTCCATTATTTTCATCAATGTATCACACTTCTCTTCTATCTCAACCATTTGGTCCTCTACATCATTGTTATCGTTCTCATGATCATCCCTCACTTTCTCAACGTCCTCTCCGGCGCGAATCTTCCTTTCCCCTCCCAAATTAGTTACACCACTATTCCCACGCCCTGCTCACAGAATTTTCGAATTCTCTCTAACTTTCACAATCAACTTCACACCTTTTTTTCTATAGAAATTCAGTTAAACAGATAGACAACTTTACACACCGAAATTTGCAGTTATAATAAGTAGGTCTTACCAATTCCACAAAATCCTTCTGTGGCCCCACGTTGGCTAAGCCACTTTGATATGAAAATGAGTTCTGCGCCGCTTCCAATAAACGTTTTCTCCCAATGGGAGGGGACAGTTCGATTTGACAAGAAGTTCCTAAAATGAAAATTAAAAACCGAATGACCGAAACTTAAGTTGTATCTTTTTTTTTCCTTATCGAAATCTGCCTGGTTGCTCAAATTCGATGGAATCTGAAACTTATCTTTGTAAAATCGTTTTCGTAGATGTCATTCTCCCAATCTCGGTGGAACTCTCTGCCTTTCGTGAATAATACAGCTGCTAATTGTATACAATGACTCGAATATAAAAGAGATCTAAGTTATTTACTTTATTCTGGCGATATTTACTTTAATGGTTCTATAATCGCAGCCGTTGTTGGTTACTTGCGTCCCAATACTTGCACCTAGGACACCTAGGAATATGCGTAGAACGTTGTTATCTGTTATTGCATCAAAGTTTACTTCGCATTGCTTTTATTTGCAAACCGTTAATTCCTTCCTAAGATGCTCCTTTTGGGCTTTAAGAGGACTTTCTCTTGTTCCATTGAGGAAAAAGACAATTTGGCGCCCAATGTGGGGCCCGAGATACTAAAAATTTATCAGTATTAGAAAAACGATAGAAATAATCTTGTAAAAAGTTTTATTAACTTTCATTTGTCAAAGAGTAATTTTATCCCAACAATTAATCGTATTTGAGGTATGAAGGAAAAACTAAAACTAGACCATTTTTCCCGTCCCTCCTCCTTAGTTATGTAGCTAGATTTGAGAACTTTTAGTATTTTAAAGAAAAATAACATTTTCCCCTCTTCCATGTCCTCTATTCTCTATTGAACCTTCATTGACTGGATTAAAAGTCAAATAATATAAAAATTTTGATGAACCAAGTTTCATTAATGTTATTTTTAGGTATACAACTGCGTTGATACCCGATGATTCTTTTATACCTGGATTTGCTTTAAGCGTTTGCGCTTTGGTATTATGGCAATTTGACTTTCCAAAAACTAACAGGTGATTGCATTTCTTTTCATACTATACTTTTTTTGTTAATAGTGTAATTCAATATTAACAAAGTATTTTTTTAGGAAATGGATGAATGAAATGGAAACTTTCATCATGATTATGGCAGTACTTAGTTTAGTATTCGCTACAATCTCAATATATAGACTTAATTATCTCCTTACTTTAACAATCATTGTGGTAACATTCTATCAACTTTTGGCGCCCAAAGTTGACGGACCTGGTACCGATGAGGATGACAAATTTGACAAAAGTAAAGCTTCAGAAAAACCTGACTATTCAGATTTGAAGACGAAGATGGAATAATTAGTATTTTTAAATAAGTGATATTTAAATTTAAGTACACTTTTTCTTGTGTTGATACTGTGTTGTAGATAATGTTTATATTTACCAAAGACATCAAATAAAGTTTTTTTATAAAGTTTTTTTGCAAATTTTTATTAAGTCTGAGTAATTTAAAACAAGAAGTTTTTGAGCTGTGTAATAAAAAAAAAAACTCGTTAAAAATGTTTTCCAGGCGGAGAAAAGACATTTTTTCAGTACTCCGAGTTTTAAGTATTGGCTACTCCCACTCCGAACCACTCGGAAACCGAATTAGTCTCAGCGTAAAATATGAAACTAGCTTCGTCGAGGATTCTTCTCAGATATGTAGAAATAATATTAAATTTTAAGATAAATATATCTATAAAGTTCTAAGCACTGTCAGGAAGATATTAAAATAACTTAAAAACTCGCTTTTTAACATTCAAGACATGGGCATAATAAAAATCTGCTACGAAAGTGACGTCATGCGCTAAACTGACCGAATTTCGTACCGCTAACCGCTTCACCTGTATTTTTCCACCATGGGAAAGAGTGCGTGTACGGGAATACGCTAGTTCAGTGATGATTTAATTATTTTTCGACTGACAATTAAAGTGACAGTAGTTTTTTTCAGTCCATTTTGTTCGTTTTCTTTACCTAAATTATATCGTTTTTTCACTTTTATTAATATATTCCTAAACTAAGTAGATAACATGCATCAAATATACAATCGTTTAGTTGCCAATTACATACCTTTAAACTATTTTTTTATGACCTATAAACAATATTTGGAAATAAACTAAAAATAGTAAAAACGTATTTGTCAAATTTATTGATGTTTTTGTTAAAAGTTTGGTTAGAATTAAATGTCAGTGGAACCAAAATGACATCACACCGAACTAGCGTATTGACAATGTGTGGTGAAAGAGACGTTGTGTATCGATGTATCCAGAGATTAGCAGATAGCTGATCCAACAGTTACAAACAAAGATTTGTTTGCCGTCTTTGAACTGCTGTATTTGGATTTCAACGAGATTGGTTTCACCATTAAAAATATAACTATAAGCTTCGCTTAATTCTAAACGACTAGCGGTGCAAATGGCCCTTAATCTTTCTTTTCAATAAAACTGTTTAATTTTTTTACCTATTTTATTTTAAAATTTTTAATTTTTATTTCGTTATTTAATATTTTTCATTCTATATAGTGTCTCATTATTACAAGATTTCTTTTCTGTCGATTTGTAGTCTAACTCCTCTACATAATCCTTCCTAGGACTGCTCGAGACAGTGTCACGTAAGGTTTTCCTTCCTCGAACAACTTTGAGCCTAAATATACAACTGCGTGGTCTACACTGCTGCCTTGCATTTTCTGGACAGATAAAGCCGATGACAAAATTAAGGGCAACATCTTTCTCTGAGCCATCCCATAATTGAACTTTGATGGTATGTGTATGGCTTTATGGTCAAAAGGTTTACGCCGTCTCCTGCAAAGTCGACTCGAACTGACGATACATCTGTTTGGTACATTTGTGTTCAACGAAAATTAGGCCAAACAAATTCGAAATGTCAATATTGGACCGTAACATAACTTTTACTCCTTTAAATTTTGTTGGCCAGCCTCCAGTTTTGTATATGTCTGTTGGCATTATATTAGCTAAATTAAAATTATCTGTATGTGTAAATCGCGTCAACTAGCTGGTCCTTTTACCGTAACTTGGGTTGTGTACCGCTAACGACGTATCATTTTTATCGACCCTAACGCCACACCGTCCTCGACACGATACGAAATGTTGAGTTGGGTGGGAGATCCATTCTTCAATCCCGATTCTTTGGATACGAACACAACGGGGAACAACGACCCTCGACCCTGGACCCTCGCTCCGACCCACGCGCACTTGTGGTCACATCAAGGCTCGGATCATCGCACTTTTGCATTAAGCGAGAATGAATGTCCCATGTACTGTAGCTGAGTTCGGTTATCTCAATTTTTTTACTCCTTTAGCTCCATGCTTCTTTAATCCGTTCTCTTATTACATTAGGATCAAATTGAGTCAATTGAGTATTCTTTAAATGAGTTTGATTTTGACAGAGTGAATTAAAAAAGAATTACGCCAGAAACACCACCTTTTGGATAGGGAATATTGGAGTGGACATGCGCATTATTGGTTTTGTAATGTTGTACAGCACAGTTCAACCCGTTGTCTTTGTTTGATAGATGCCGTGTAGGCGGTAGATTTTTGAGCTCCAAAAAGTATCAGTTTGTTAATAATGGAGGCAGTAAAGACAAAAACGTATAAAATAGTCATGATGACGTGCCGTTAATTGAAAACGGCATGGTCGTACTGCAGAACATAACGAGTAAGTATATAGTATCAAATTATATGTATTCCCAGACAGCACACTAAATCCTTTGGATATCGACTGAACATCCCAATATCCACTGAATGTCCAGTCCATGGCGGATATCTATTTTATATCAATGAGATGTAATTTATAGACATGCAAATGTCCATAAATAATAGTAATTATATAGCATATTATTAAAAAATTACGCCATTGAGCTCGCCATTGTGGCTAATAGTACCGTTCAGATATTTAAAATTAATTTTTTTAAGGTGTATTCAATATCCCATGGACATCCACTAAATATATCAAAGTCTAGGCGCGAACGCATTCCATCGTGGATATCCACTAGATGTAATTTTTGATTTTGCTTACTAAGTATAGATGGCGATACCACTTTCGCTCGTGCTCATGCTCAACCCGCCGTAATTGAGTTCGATCGAAATTTGTAGATCAGTCAGACTCCATTAGAGACTGGAGTCGAGAGTTTCCATTTATTGTTGAAGAGTCCTAATAAGAATGACTTTCTCCTTAGTGGGCAAAATCAAAGGCAGAGTGTTGAAAATATTTTGAGTGTTGAAAATATTTTTTATCTCTGCTATTTTCTTTCGACGTTATTCAATAATCATTGATTACTTATGAACATTTACTAAAGATATCCATAAAATATTTTGCTGAATATCCGAATTCTTCTATATCCTGGGATATAAACGGACATTTGGTTGGATATCCATATTGGATATAGGTATTGGATATCCACAAAATATATTCTGTGGATATTTCTGGGATTTCTTGTATTGTCTGGAAGATACCCATTAGATATTTTGCTGGATATCCATAGGGATATCTTCTATATTCTGGATATAGACGGACATTTTGATATCCATATTAGTTCCACGGAATATTTCTGATATCCTGTCGATATATTGGATATCCACAAAAGATATTCTGTGGATATCTCTGGGATTTGGTGTGTTGTCTGGGTTACTGTAGTAATCTAGTTCTCTTTTTCATCAAAAAATTATTATATACGAAAAAGTGTCTCATTTGAGTTAAGGGTAAATTTTAGTAACAAAAAAGTAGTGCCCAATAACCTTCTAATTACTAGTTTTATTATTTCTACCTTCTGTGTTTATCACTTTGTATGTTTTAGCAAATGAATGCATTAGAGCCTATGACAGAGGGCTTAATAATCCTTCCACTTTTTTCAATATGTAAACAAAAACAACAAATTACGGAGGAAGGATAAAGACAAATATTAAACTAATAACCATAGCTGCTAATAACTGACGTAGTGACAAACTAAAAGACATTTGACACCACTTTGACATCTTGACGCACCGACTAAACTCCTACAAAATTTTGAAGAACACTCCGCTCCTGTCCCACTCCTTCTCTGAGCTAATAACCGAACGCCCCTTGTGTACTATGCCTTAGCTCTAACCTATGTGCAGAGCGATGGTCGGCGCTCCAATGTTACCACACAGAGCTAATATTGTGTATTTTTTTTTTTTTTGGTGATCGGAGCTTTAGTCGAAGCTCCGATGTGTCTGCACACATACTTAACTTTGTTTTGAACTGTGTTCTACTTGTATAGCCTTTTCATTTGATACCTATTACCCATATTAAGGGTATGAAAAATATGAATTCCGCCATTTCTCGAATTTGTTTTTTTTGATGATTTACTGTATTCTACTAATCAAGCCCTTGTATTATTTGATATTCATATTGAACGGGTTGAAAAAATGTAATCCGCCATTTTGTAGCGGCGGCCATCTTGAATTTACAATGATACTGAATATACATATATAACATTATTGTCATCATAACCAAAGGTATGTACTAAATTTTAGATCAATTGGACAACAGGAAGGGGGTAAAATATGAAACCCGTTATTTCGTGGTGGCGGCCATCTTGAATTTGTTTTTTATAATGTAATGTATTTTACTAGTCAATCCCTTTCATTTGATACCCACATTGAGGGGGTTGAACAAAAAATGTAATTAGCCATTTTGTGGCTGCGGCCTCTTGAATTTACAATGATAGTGAATATACATAATTGTATTGTTATCAAAACTAAAGGTGTGTATCAAATTTCAGATCAATCGGTCAACAGGTAGGGGGTAAAATATGAAATCCGCCAGTTTGTGGTGGGGCCATATTTAATTTGTTTTTATCTTGTACTGTATTCTACTAGTCAAGTCCTTTCATTTGATATCCATATGGAGGGGGTTAAAAAAAAGGTAATCCGCCATATACATAATTAATTGTATCAGAACTAAAGGTGTGTATCAAATTTTAGATCAATCAGTCAACAGGAAGGGGGTAAAATTGTAATTACTAAATGTGACGCAACAATAGCAACAAACAGGTCAAGCTAAGTAAAACCGTTTAAAAATGATAAAATCGGTCGATATTTATTACATACCATTTTTTTTTTGAGTTAGGCCTCTGATTCCATATAAAATGTTTCCATATTTTTAAAAATAAGTAACTCCTGTCCTAATTCCTATTTTTGGACATCGCCCGTAAATGGTAAAAAAAATTGAAATTTATTACTTTAATTAAGAACGGCCACCTTTAGGAATATAACGGAAGAGTAAATTGGATTTTTTATTGTTGAGTTTCAGAAATATTAATATCATGATTTAAAAATAAGTACATGAAATGGCCAATACGGACCTGCAAAGGTACTTTGTGCGCAATTTTACCAGTATTCCTGTAACGTAATGCGCGAATTCGGCTTACTTTTGTTAATAAGGAATTAGGCATTCCAA